TCGGAATTATTCATCTGATTCGACGCCCTATCATAATTCACACGGGTAAGTGAGTCGATTGATCGTTAGCCGTGCGCATCTCGCTTTTTTCTTACTGCACTTGGTAGTGATACCAGTTGCTATCCGCTCCCCATCTCCCACGAGGCACATGGCAAGAGACATTGGAGGGAGAGAGATGTTTGCCGTTATAGCACCGACATGTCGGTTGGTGGGTTGGTGCGTAATTCGTGACGTGAACTGCCATGTGCACACGAGCTTCCAAAATGCGTAAGGCTGGCAGCTAACACACACGTTAGCTTCCTCGGGTCATGAGCCGTTTCGTGTGTGGTGTGCGTGTGCGTATGTGTGTGTGTGTGTGTGTGTGTGTGGTGCTCTGTTCTCCCCGCGCTCCCCTCTGCTCCCAACGTGTTTCTTCTTGGTGTTGCTGGTAAATATGCATTACTCTGTAAGAGCATTAGGATGTCGATCTTCTCTCCGATTGTCACAAGTTCGGGAGAACCCTGTCACGCTATTAGCACTTGGCGCCAGAGGGTAATAAGTGGTCGATATGAACATCTCCGAGGTTCAAAATTTGTTTCCGTGGTGGGCAACTGTCTCGAGCCAATAGTGACATACGACGTGCCGGGTATAAGCGACGTTTTGCGGTCTTCGTTAGTACTATCTAATTGTATCAGTATTAGCAGCCTGATACTAATAGTGAGTGGGATAGAAAATAATGGGGACTAACGTAGACCAATGAAGACATTTGCTACAATCCAATACAGCGGATCGGTAGCCAGGGTTTCCAAGCAGTCGGTGATGCGGGCTGTTGCCTACGACGGGGTCGACGACGCATGTCTCTCTTTTTTGTGCATCTCGTTCTCCTCCATTGCGTGTGGCTATTTCTGTACAGGTAGTAGCAGGAGCATACATCTCAGAAGCATGTGGGCCGGTCCTCAATGATACTATGTGGTCAACAGTTGTCGCACATCAGCCAGCCGACTTCCCATAGATCGCCAGAGAGCTCATGGCATCGCCGGTATCGAGCTGAGTGGGTTGTCTTGGGGGGGTTTACCTCCCGGAATCCGACTCAAAACATTGCTTTTTGAAGTCCACCATCCTCCTTGGAAAGAGGGCTGACCGACCTCTGCTCCTTTTCCGTACACTTGGCCATGACGACGGGGGCTGAACAAAGAGGCTTGCGAGGGTCGTACATGTTGCTCATGCGGATAATTTATCATGACTGGCTGAAGCTGCGTGGAAGGAGGGGCGCATCCGGTGCTAGCATACTAGTACCAAGGGAATGGTTCTTTTCCTTCATGTGTATGTCGGTAGTAGTCACGATGGTATTACCATGCAGCAATGATCTGGGTCTTGGATGAGAGTGATTACTGCTACTCGTAGTCGTGTTAATTACTGACAATGATTTCATCATGTCCTCGCTGTTGGAAGGTACAGCTGAGGTTCTTTCCCTCCGGAATGCCAGTGCGCGAAATGTGGGATGTGGGAAGGAGCTAGCATCGTAGTTTCCCAGCTTAGGTGGTTTTTCCTGCCCTCGACTAATATATTGATTGTACTATGGCATTGTACCAGATGTACCCCTCTCAATCCTTTCGCCACTCCCCTCTCCTTTTCTATCCATTCCTACTATTTTCCACTGTCCTTGATTCATCAACAAGCACTCGTACTCCGTATTACTCATGCCTACGAGCATGTTACTGAGCAATAATACAGCATTCACCGACATAGCCTCCGCAACTCTCATCCCACATGGACCGGTCAGTCTTGGCATCCCCTAGCCAAGCTGGTCACGGTTCGCCGGTCGCCCAACGCTCCGCTCTGGTCTGGAAACCGGCGTCTTGGCAGTTCAACAATCAAGGCCCGACGACATGTGCACAGTAATGACATACGAGTTTGTCCTGCTGTACACACAGGGTACGCAGGTTTCCTGCCCGTCTACGAGGTACGACCGGATACGCGCCGCTCCTTGATTACGACGTAACAAAACCCCAGCCAGCGACGGGGAGAGAAAAAGGAGAAGAAGAAGAAGAAACGAAACGACTGGCTCCCTCCCAAGGAGGATTCAGATTCATGTGGATGAATGCCCAAAGCTGGTCGGGCTGTAATATTCGGTCATCTTTATTATGCCTCTGTCACCGAGAACATGGGCATGAAACTTTGGAGACAAAGTGTGGCTGGCTGGCCTGACATTTACTGCTCTTCCCTGTCTCCTTCTTGTGCCTGACGCCGAGGGCCTGAGCGGCTAACCCGACAGCCAATGAGAGGAGGCTGCTACTGATAATCCTGCCGACACCAATGCCCTGGGCTATGCGCCCATCTACGCCTGATCGCCCGGGTTTCATTGTCCCCACCGACCCTGCTGCTCGGGAAGTTGTACATATCTTGCTTTTCCCCGTCCTGCTTCTAATCCCTGTTCTGGCAATCGCCTTAGACTCCTGACACCCCGGAGAGCTCGATTATCAGCATTACATTTACAGGGAGATATCAATCCCTTGGGCTCGTATTACTAGACAAGGACCCCAAAATGGGCTTGGGGTCGCCCCTGAAAGGATACCACCTGGTATGCGGATCAACCGAGTTTATGGTCATGGCGGAATACAATCAACGGCATACAACCTTCGACTAAGAGCAAAGCAGCAATGTCGACCACTTGAAAGAAAACAATGAGCAAGTAACCAGGCATGGCCTTCGACGTACATGAGATCTGTTGCCATCATCTGAGTCGCGAGGAGACACTGGTAGTGCCATGTCACCGCAGATCTCGAGGCAGATCTCTCTGCCCGTGCGTTCCCCTCCAAGGCTCTGAGTATGTACGGATCCCTGCACATTTTGCTGCCTTCACACCCCCCCCCCCCCCCCCCCCCCCCTCCTGCTCATGGAGTGGTGGGTGGCTCTCAGGTACACACCCACCCATCTAGCCGAGGGCCACACACACCAGTTCCCTTTCTTCGCACGAGCACAAGGTGCCTTGAAGCTAGGAGGGGCCTTGTAAGTTGCCCCGAGTTCGACGAGAAGTACATGGGTCATTGTCTCCACAGCTCTCCCTCCTCCCTGTATACCTGTACAATGTACGCCGCAGTATGGAGTACGTGCACACAGCTCGTCGACTGAGACGCCAGGACCACTACAAGCTGAGTGCATGGGGGGGTGTTTGAAACAGCAGCGTTGGCATCAGCCTCGCATGGGAAAAGTTGAGAAACGACCCGGAGTCGAGGGTGTGGCAGACATACTGTCCAACGTGACCCTGGTTCACCTGGTCAGAGCTACCCTCTGGCTTCCTCTCCCAATACTTCGGCTCTGGGCAATTTGCGAATCACTGCTCATGCGACACCCAAGACAAAAGTTTGGGGTCCCTTGGATGGGTGTACTGAACAAATCAATATATTGCCCAAATATCTCTAGGGGAGCCTTGCAGCAAGATTGATTTGACGTGAGTCCCGGTGAAGGGCATCCAAGTGTCATGGGTCTCAGCTCTGGTCTTTACTTTTTGTCAACACCACCACCATCACCACCACCACCACATGGATGCCGGCCAATTCCTCAGCCTCGCGATCTGTCTGGCGTTCCTGGGACCCTGTAAAAGAAGCCGTCCCCCCACTTTCTCTCTCTGGCTGGCTGCAATGTCTTGTTCGCCTGGGACGATTATGCTACATGAACCACCCTTATACTTCTGACAGTTGCATGTTCCCAAGTGTCTTGGCCCGTTTGCGTCGCCTTTTCTTTTCATTAATGATTATTCTTGGACTCACTATCCCTCGTCTACAAATTCAGCTTGGTGCAGCGTTATACTACGGGAACATTCAGAAACTCGGCGATTTACGTATAGCAACAACAAGCAAACGATATATTCGCCACGCGTCTTTCCGTACCGATCCTCATTGTCTGTGTCACACTGTCCCGAGGTGCGAGTACAGCCCTTTGATTCTGTTCTGCGGATCATCAGGCACTATTGTCAGGTGAGTGTGGATACGTACGAGGCCCAGCTGGTCTGCGCGGTCTGGGACTAACACGCGAAACCAAAAGACTGCTTCTAGAACAGGAGAGTATGGTATAAAGCTGCCGTTGCAGCAGTGTCGATTGCTCCAGACTTTTGCTTTGGAGTCGATGTCAAAGCCGAAGAGAAGAGGCGGCATCCCTACTGATACACACAAAGATACTCACCCTCCTCTCTACACCCCTTCCCCACCACCCTTCCCTTCATCTCTCGAGTGCTACGCATCTTGGGGTGTGGTCTAGGCGATCCGTCCCGAAGAAGCTACAGACCGCGGCAACCAGTCCGAGTTTCCAGTAGTCCATGGTTATACCCCAGGCCAAGGCATGAACGACGCTAGCTCTCTTGCCTGTCGTTGTCATTTTACCTCGCCCTTCTAGTTGCTGCCCAAGAGAAGAGCCGTTTGGCTTTGTTAGTCTTCCGGAGCATATCCCACCCTGCTATATAGACGTTGGTTACCGCAACATCTGCCTCTCATCTGAGCCTCATCCTCTCTACCCACTTCTCGCCCACTGTACAACTACTAGTGCCTGGACGCCAGCTTCCAAGGCGTTGCAACACACGCCACGACTTGCCATAGCAAGACGACATCGACAATCATCTTCTCCGGGTGAAAGGAGTTTCGTCCCTCCAACTCTCAACCAGGAACAACCACGCTTGATGAGAAAGCAGTTTGGTCTCCTGTGACGTTGGTCTTTTTACCAGCACATGAATACACCGCTTCCTTTTGATCCTCTAAACTAGTGCTGCTGCTGCTACTTCTACCTTTCCACCACTCGATCGATCCACTGGTCGATCGAGAGACGCTTTCAACCTGGCTCTCTACTACCCATCACCAACGCCCTCTCCGGCGGCTCACCGCATAGGGCCGGGCACAGAATCGCCGTACAGCTACGACGTTGGGGGGATGGCCGACCCCGGTCGAGCAGGGGGCGACGACTTTGCACACGACAGCCAGCATGGCTCCGGTGCAAGCTACGTGCCACAGCCAAGCTTTGTGACATCAACCATGCCTGCCAAGGGGTACCGTGGCAGCAGCAGTAGGCGCATCGACGGCGCCGGTGGCACGCAGCAAGCCCCATCGCCGTCGTCATATCCGCAGACACCGAGGAGCAGCGCGGCCGCCGAGTACAGCAGCAGCTACTACCAGACACCGACCTCGATGACAGGAGCGGCAGAGACAGCTGCAGCAGAGGCAGCAGGGATGATCCCTTACATTAACAGCAGTTACGGGCCGCCTCCTCCAGATGACGGCAGTCAGCCACACCACACGCACCACCACCTCAGCAGCAACTACAACGCTGCAGCAATCATGTACAATGTCGCACAGACGGGCAATCAGGCGCCCGCGTATGATGCCCAGCAGTTCCGGGCACCACGACATCGGCACCATGCAGCCATGCAGACGATGCCCGACATCACGTCAGCATACCTCGGCGCCGACGTGGCCGGCGGTGCTGGCGGGAGCAGCAACGCGTCGGCGTCCAACTTGCAACATCAACCGTATCAGCAACAGCACCAGCAACGGCCGCGACAACGGCCGCATACTGCCTCGTCTGCAGGGGTCTACCACCAGAATCCAAACAGCATGGCTTTTACGGAAGGTATCCAGCATCAACCACAAGGAGGTAGGCCGCCCCAGGGAGATGAGGGCCAAGTGACGGATGATGAGGCAGAGTACTCCGAGGAGGAGGAGGTTGCGGAGGTTGCGGAGGTTGCGGAAGGGGGTGGGACCGTCGACGAACACTGGCAAGAGTACCATCAACAGCTGGTATCCGTGTTCGAGGAGATCATGGGGGGGTCGCTCGAGGCGGCGTCGGAGACTCTGCTGGTCATTTCCAACTGGCTGTTGCCGCACGTGGCAGATCTGGGTATGTCTAATCACCCGAGCACTCTTAGCAGCAGCATGCATCAGCAGCATGAGGCTAACGTATGGTGGTGACGGAGATACGACAGGCCTGACTACGGACAACTTTTCCATCCACGGAGAACGCATCCAGCTCTGGAACGACTTCAACCACGCCTGGCTCGCCCTGGGTCAACGACAGCTGGACTTGATGTCCGGGGACGCAAGGGGCCACCAAGCCTCGGGAGAACCGCAGACGCCGCTATCGCGGGAGAGGCTGTTGGAGCTCGGTGACGAGATTGTCAGGTTCTGCGACGACCTTGCGCCTCATGGTCTGGTGGACTACCAGTACGGTGTGTGGGAGGATCAGATTACAGAGGGTACGTGGTGATGGGTCCCTGCGATATGACCTCTTTTTTTCTTTCTTCTTTTCTTCTAACGATCATCACCCGACACAACTGACGCCTTCTGTTCTAGTCCTTGGGGAATGCATCGATCTCTACGGTTCGCAATGAGTTCCTGGTTGATGAACAACCATTGGACTCGACTGGTCCATGCTGGTCATCAAGAGTCTGAGAGAGTAGATGATGGCGGCGGGCGAGAGGGATGTTTCATCTCGTCAGCGATGTAACTGGCTATTGGCGTTGTTGGCTTTACTGTATACCTCCTAAGATATGAGCGTGCATGATGCATCTGTTTCCGTTTTTTTTTCTCTCTTCTTCTTTTCCTCTTAATAATTGCATGTCCTTTAATTTACTTACATATATCAGTCACTTTCATCTTGACATAGATTGTCTGCATTAGGACAGGTTTAGACAGGCTTTTTGTTCTTTCTGTGGGCATGAAGGATAATAGAAATAGAAATTATTCCTCTTCCTTCCCTTTCACCTCCTAGTGTCTTCTAGACTGTCGATACAAAGTAGTCATGATGTACTCTCCTTTTTTTCCCCTTGGAACACGACGGCAACACACACGTCACGCTGCTCACTTTTCGTTACTCTTCACATGACAGCATTTCTTTTTTTTCCCTCTCTTTTTCGTCTTGTACGAGCTCCATGGCGATTATATTACGGGGGCTGCAGTGGTCATGGAGCACAAGGGACATATACTTTTGTCATGGTGGTTGGATAATCAATAATATGTTACCAATGATATAATTAGGGGGCTACAGATTACTCCGTAATACACGATCGGGGATTATATATAAAGGTGGTATACATATGACACATCACATGTCTGTTTCCGTGACTATGTTGTTTCCGTTCCTACCTGTACTCTGTACCGCGTACAATGTAATGATATATTGAATTACGAATGTAGAGACTGTCGATGGCCTGATCCGTGAATGGCATATTACTACTACTACTACTACTACCACCACTACGGGTACTAGGAGTTGGTATTGACCAGCTGATAGCTGATCAGGCGCCTCAGACGTCATGGGGGTTGTTGTGCCAAGGCTTACAGCTCGGAATAAAGGTAACAGAAAAAAAGAATACTAACCAAGAAGAGAAGGAAAAGAAAGAAGCAAAGAGACAAGAGCAGAATCCGGTGTGCTGGTACGAACTGTGCGGGGGTTATCTTACCTATGAAGGAAAAGAAGAAAAAGCAAACATGGCAAAGCAAGGGGATGTATCGCACAGCTTGTCTCAACCTTGTCATTGGAGGAGGGGGGGGGGGGGGGGGGGTCCGTGTTTTTCTTTTCCTGCCTAGGTCGCAAACCTTTTCTACGTCTGGTGGATATCATGGCCAAGGGGCACATGGTACAGGAGGATTAGGGATAATATCTGATATCTTTGAAGGTGAACATCAGAGAATGAGGAATGTCCAGTTGCAGATGCAGATTTATAAAATAAGAAAAACCAAAAAATAAAAAACCGATATATAATCTCAATTACTCATCAAGGAATAATCATTTAAATCATGACAAGAGACGGGGGAGAAGAGAGAGGCCATGATAACGGTAATGATGAGTAAGCATTGAGAAGAAGGGGTTTAAGCAATTGGCCGATATAGTCATCATCATCAAGCTAAAAAAATAAAAAAAAGGAAAACTAAGAAAGAAAGAAAAAAAAAAACTAGGCATAACAACAAAGAAACGATCCATAAACTAATAGTACCAGTGTTTTTTTTTCTCATCTTGCTTTTTTTTTTCATCCCACGCATTATGGCGTTGTTTTTAGAAGGTGTCTGTTGTGGGGTGCCATGTCAGTACATATCGGTGGTTTTGCGGCAGAAATGTTGAGGAAATCAAAACATGGCTTGCAGAGGATGCCAAAAGAAAAGGAAAAGAAAGAAAAGAAACAGAAACGGTAAAGGAGGCAAGGAAAGAGGAAACGAAGAGAAGAAGAAAAGAGGGGGTGATGAAAAGAAAAGAGAGAGAACGAAGAGTAGAGAGAGAGAGGAGGAGGAGGAGGAGGAGAAAACATACCGAGAGTGAGGCTGGTGCTGACGTCGGTCCCCTCAATCATCTTTGTGAACTCGTCAAAGTCAATTTTGCCATCGCCGTTGAGGTCGGCCTCCATGATGGTCTTGTCGACAATCTGCTGGAGCTGCTGGTCCTTGAGGTTGCTGCCGACCATCATCTTGAGGACGATGAAGAGCTCCCCGTTGGAGATGTAGCCGTCACGGTCAATGTCGTACACCTTGAAGGCGAACTGGAGCTTCTGCTCCTTGTTACCCTTGGCGCTGAAGGCGCTGAGGCCGCCGACGAACTCTTCAAAGTCGACGTCGCCGCCGCCGTCGGCGTCGAAGATGGCAATCATTCTGACGCGCGCACCTGTCGTCAGCATATTCCCATCCCTTCTTCTCGGCCTTGATCTCCGTCCTCCTCCTCAAGAATAGCGTGTGTGCGTGTGTGTTGACCATACCGTGTCGCTAGAGGGTTGTTGGATATTTGCGGTAGGCTGAGAAATTCATCGCGCTCGATAGTACCGGAGTTGTCCTGCAACCATTCCCTCCTCTGTCAGTCCATGCTCTCTCCTTCTTCTTCTTTCCTCTTCTTTCTTTTCCTGTTTCGTCTTCTTCCCCATGACGGCACCTTACCCTGTCGAGTTTCATGAATCGCTTCCGTAGGCGGTCAACCTCTTCCTTGTCGACTACCACATGTGAGCGTTCTCTCTCCTCTCATATCTTCCCGTATGCATCTCTCCCCGCACATCCAACACATGGGGGAAGAACCATACAGTTTGATCCTTGGACGATATTGTCCAGGACCGTACTAGTCGAGTTGCCCATCGGAGAGAGAGGGGAGGGGGGTGGTTATGAGGGGTCGTCGTTTGGGGTCGGGCAGAGCTAGTGTGTGTGTGTTCTTCTATGGTATTCGTCTAGACTCGTCCGTCTGTTTAAAAAAAGCGTAAGCCTTCGTCGGAGCTTGCTCGTCGTTGAGAGAATGCCGCCAAGGGTCCTTGCTGGCGTGTGTCGGTTTGACGGATGTGGACTGGAGCTTCTCCCCACGAGTAAGATGGCCGCTATTCCTGGCCAGGCTGCTGCTTAGTGGTCCTATCGCCGGGTGGCGGGCGGTCGAGGGGCGAAAGAAAACGAGTGCCTGCCTTTCTTCCGTAACTGCGGAAGGTTACTCCGCCTTCCGTACCTCCGCCAAGGTGTGTGGTCCGTGCGCTGGCCCCTTTCGAGTTGCTGACAGAGCATAGGGACCTCTGGGGTATTACTGACATCATCCATGTTATTGATGCTGAATTTCATCTCATATTATATCTCTCTTTTTTTTTTGCCCCCTTCATCACCGTCGTCATCTTATATTTGATATGAACAAACTCCGTCGCATAGATCCAGACGAACGCGACATATGATTTGTTCCGTGTCGTTCCGCTCTGTTGCTTGATATTGCACGACGTAAGTTTTGCTCTGTGTTGTAGTATGTGCTCCTACCCTGCGTCCGGACCGTACAATACGTCGGCAATGATAATGCGACAAACAAGACACAAGATACTCTAATAAAGAAAGGGTCATTATTATAAAAAGTCATGATGATGATCATCATCATCATCATGTCATCAGTTAAAACTTCTACATACATCGGAAAAAAAAAAAAAAAAAAAGAGAGAGAAAAGAAACAATATGGAAAGTTATAAGATTCACCAGAAAGGAATGCTGCAAATCACCCACTTTACAGTTCACGCATCATACAAAATACGAGATCATACCCTGTACGTCAAGCGGTGCGCCGTCTTTAGTTAGTAATATTACGGAAGAGTCATCACTAGATTGCTTCTGTCCTCTTGGCTGGAGGAGGGGAAGAGGCTTTTCTTCTTGACAGTGTGTCCACAAGCTTGAGAGGCAGATAGGGGAAAGGGAACATGGCCCGTGCACGAAGAGTACCTCTTCCATAAAATCTTGGTGAATCCGTGACTCTGGCCACGCTCAGCATAGCCACCAGCCACAATTCGACTTTGACGGCTGCACGCTCCTAGGCCTCCTCCCAAACTCAAGCCACTAAACTCGTAAGTCTTAGGGGAGGTAGTGAGAGAGGGACCCCCCTAACACTCTCCTTCAGCGCCCTGCACTACCCCCAAAGACCCCCCAGCTCAGCACCTGGCTAGAGAACACGGAGTACCTGTACAGGTAGAGGGAGGGGAGAAAAAAAAAAAACACCCTCCTGTCGCGCGCGCCATCATTTCCCTGCGCGACGAGGCCCTTTGCACCAGTGAAAAATCTTCGCAAAGGCCAAAACATTGCCCAACGATCGGATCCCAAGAAAGAAGCCACCTCTTTTCAGTCATCGGAAAAGGGTTCCCAACACGCCTTTTTCATCGCAAAAATTCAACTGGCATTTTCCCCATGCCTTATTTTATGACTTGATTGCTTTTTTTTGCGGTTTTTCCGCCGGCTTGCCGCCCAAAAACCCTCCCCTCCCCCTCTGCCCCCCTTCCCCTCTCCTGTCTACTGTCTCCTGTCTCCTCTCCTTCCACACCCCCCAGCCACCCGTTGCACCATGTCATCCCGCAAGGTCCGGGTCAAGAAGCTCAGCATCAAGACCGCCCTCCCCGTCCTCAGAGAGGACCAAATCAACCCTTCCGAGTACGAAGCTCTCGCTCCCGATACTCAAATTGCCACCGGTGTCGAGCAAGCTGAAGAAAAGGTGAGCATCTCTCTTGTCACGTCCTGCCGCCTTTTCAGCGATATCACGTGATGCATATCACGTGACGCCACCTGCATACCTTCCCCTTCCCCTTGGGGCTTGCCTCTGGGCCACGAGAGCCCGAGAGCCGTGAGCTGCAGGCCCCACTATCCGGCATCGGATATTTGCTCGTGTTAGTGTGTGCCATGTTGATCCTTCAGAGTACTGACTTTCTCGTCTTCTCATCTTTCAGGAATATCATCTGCAGACCATCCTCAAGGATGCAGGTACTAGCAATGATCAGGAAATTCCCGTCCCGCCTCCCCAGGAGAGCGACATCAACTATGATAGCCTCTACCCGAGCCATTTCCACCAACCCACCTCGTATATCAGGTTCTCCCAGACAGTAGAGGAGTGCATCAGCTGTCAGTATGACATGTCCACCGAGGATGTTGAATTCCTCAAAGGTTACAACTCAAAGTTCCCCGCCGACAGTGCCCTCTCCGAAGACGACTTCGAGCGCATCATTGAAGTCTATGAGGACACTGCCACCGAACAGACGCCCTTTGCCGCCGTTGATAATACTGTCGTCCCATATGATGTCATGGTCCCCGGTCTGTCCCACCTTGGCTCGCCCGCGCTCATGCAGCATGCCAAGGCCATATATGAGTACTGGAAGTTGAAGCGTCAGGAGGCCGGCAACAGGCCCATCCACCCCACCCTCAAGTTTGAGACCCACCAGGACACTGACGACACCGACCCGTACGTCTGTTTCCGCCGTCGTGAGGTGCGCCAGACGAGGAAGACGAGGGCTCGCGACAACAAGATTGCCGACACCCTGAAGCGCCTCCGCAAGGAGCTCGATGAGGGCCGTCAACTCGTCCTCTTGTCGGCCGAACGTGAGGTGGTAAAGAGAGAACTCCTTTATGCGGATAGGGCCGTATTTGAGGAACGCGCTCGGCTCAAGTTGATGAAGTCCAAGCTCGGTATCAAGGGCGGTGACGAAGATCTCATCCACCAGAAGGTGTGTAACCCAGTGCTCACATCTCCACACGGATCCGTGACTGACCGTCGGACACAGCCCCAAAAGCGCAAGGCGCCCGAAGCCCCAGCCGTCCAGAGGCCTGTCGGTCCTCACACGCGCATGCCTGTGCGACCCGATGGTCGGACCGCCGACCCGGATCTTGTATTGCTCTCCGATAAGCGCTCCGAGAAGGAGAATGAATTCCGTGCCGACATTGAGATGAAGGTTCAGAATCACCGCAAGTGGAACCAGAACCACATCGATCTCACCCGAGACCCCTTGTCGCCTGTCAAGGAAGATGGCATGGAGCTCAAGTTCCGACCGGCAAAGACGCAGTATCTCATGACGCCGCCTGCATCCAGGACCTCGGAGGACATGGACCTGGACCACCAGGAGCCTGTGGCCCCTGCACCTGAAACTGAAGCCGAGGCTGAGCCCATGGAGGTTGACAAGCCGACGCTGCCCATCTTCCACTTTAAAGCGGGCGGTGCCGGTAATCCGGATGTGCACCAGCCAGCCTTCCGCCGCCGTATAGGCCGGTTGAACCGCCTCTGGATCGACCGGAGAGGCTTGCGGACCCCACCGCGGGAGCGGGAGAGTAACGAATACTGCGACCGCTGGGCATACGACTCGGACTCCGACGACGAGGAGCCACCAGTGTATGAGGTTGACCCGTTCGACACGCGTGCGCTCAAGTTCCGGGCCATGATTCCGCTCAACCTATACATGCTCCGGCGGCCGCAACCGCATCCGGATGCCGCCGTCATGATGCAAGGGAACAGGGTATTGCCGCCGCCAGCAGCAGGAGGCCCACAGCCACAACCACAGCAACACCAAGGACCACCGCAGCCAGTACCCCCGACAGTAGCAGCGGCAGCAGCAGTAACGGCGGCGGCTGTGGCAGGCCACGCGCAACCAACACCTCCACAACCACTACCACCACGGGTGGCAGCGCAGGCACCAGCCAAGGCGACGTCATGATGCGGCGTCTGTCCACCCACTCCGTAATATTGTAGAATATCGATGCGGCCGAGAGTGTATGCTCTTTTCTTGGTTGTCATCACTCTTGTTGATTTTATTCCCTTTTTTTTAAGGTTTTTTTTTATTTTAGTTTTGGCGCAAAGCGGAGGTTGAATTTGGCGTGGGACTCGAGGCAGAGATGGGTATTATTTTCCCGCACACGGGGTCGGGGCCGTGATTTTTTTTCCTTGGTCGTGTCGAGTTCATCCTGCGTCCGGTCGCATTGTCTGCCAGTGTACGATATCGAGTTGAGAGTCGAGCATTGCGCGGGAGTTGAGGAGTTGGGAAGAGGATTTGATCGAAGAAAAAAGGTATGCCTCAGGGCGGGGAAGGAAGAGGCATCGGGGGGGGGGGGGCACTGTATAGAAGACACACACAAAAGAAAAGCCAGAGCTGAAATGAAGAGATCATGACCACCCCATGAATGTCATTGAAAATAGTCGTGTGTGTCTCATGTCATACCAGTGGCCGTATAGAGGGCAGGCCGTGATTCCGGTTTGTGTGCGTGTGCGTGTGCGTGTGTGACAAGAGATTGGGTAGGGGGAGGGGGGGGAGAACCTCAGCAGGCGGACGTTATGTCTGGAAAGGAAGAAGAGTAAGTCAGAATGTGGAAGCACTAAAAGAAGAGGCGCGACGCATGTCCGAGAAAAAAAAGCATGGAGAGGACGTACCATGTTATCGCTGACGCTGCATATACCCGAGTGAGGGCAAGGGGGGGGGGGGGCATACAAGTAGCAACGGTGGTGGTGATGATGATGACGATGGCCGAGCGCCATGACGAAGGAAGCGGCGGGCGGCGCGAGGAAGATAAATGAAGCAGATGTAAAGGAGGAAGGAGATTATCAAGCAAAAAGAAAGAAATCTCTCCCCACCTGCCTGTATGAGAGATACCCCTCAGTAACGCACCTCGTTTGTGGGTAGGGAAAGGAAGAAAAGACAAAGTGTCATGGGTCTAGTCTTCTGGCAGTTTGTGCTGATGGTGCTGGTCAGGCTTCAGGCTGTGGCGGGCGGGTGGGTGTGAGAGCGAAACGGAGAAAGGCGGCCGGCCCACAGATTTACCCATTGTCATTGTGTGGAAAATCAGTTGTCGAAGCCCCAGAGAGCGGGCCACTTAAACCCAGGCAAAGAATAGTTCCTTTGGGGGGATATTGATAGGTGCCAAGTTTGATGGGCTTGGGATGACTTTTACACCTTGCTGACCACCAAGAGCCATCTTTATTGGGTAATAAAAGCATGTACCAATTTGTTTCCTTGATTTTCTGACTAACGCTCTTTTAGGAGGACCCTTTGAACTTTTTTTTTTCAATTTTTTTTTACTCAACCCCCAATATTTTCCCTCTCTATTTGCGCCGCTACTCACCGCCTTATTATATAAGCCATCGACGTCAGGGCCTTTTGCAAGCCCCACCATTGGCATCTGAAGTCAGGATTGTTCTGTCCGTCTGAGTAGAAAAATCAAAGGCGGGGAGTAGAGGGGGGGGGGGGGGGGGGGGCGGCGTCATGACGACCGAAGAGACGAACGAAGAGTGGTACTGGAGAAATCAAGGACATGAAGGGTTGAGAGATCTACGTGTTTGCTAATCAAACAAAAGAGATACCTACGTCTTTTTTTCCATTCTTTATACTATTATACTGTTGAGAGAAGGAGGCAAAAAAAAGAGACTGCGCGCAACCCCACCAACAACCCCTCCTTGTAATATCCTCCCACCTCCCTCTCCTATCAAAGATGGCACCCCGAAAGTCATCATGGATCGCCCTCGGGTGCGAAGGCTCAGCGAACAAGCTGGGGATAGGCGTGATAGAGCACAGCTTGTCGGGCTCGACCAAGATCCTGTCCAACCTGCGCGACACATTCGTCTCCCCCCCCGGCACGGGCTTCCTCCCCAAGGACACGGCTGCACACCACCGTGCCGAGTTTCCCCGGCTGGCGCGTGAGGCCCTGGCGGCGGCAGGCGTCTCGGTCGGCGACGTGGACTGCATCTGCTTCACGCAGGGGCCCGGCATGGGCGGGCCGCTGACCTCGGTGGCGATCGGGGCGCGCACCCTGGCCCTCCTGTGGGGGAAGCCGCTGGTGGGCGTGAACCACTGCGTCGGGCACATCGAGATGGGCCGCGCCATCACGGGCGCGTCGGACCCCGTGGTGCTGTACGTGTCTGGCGGGAACTCGCAGGTGATAGCATACGCCGAGCAGCGGTACCGCATCTTCGGCGAGACTCTCGACATCGCCGTGGGCAACTGCCTCGACCGCTTCGCCCGCACCCTGCGTATCAGCAACGACCCGGCCCCCGGATACAATATCGAGCAGCTCGCCAAGCGCGGGTCCAGGCTTCTCGACCTGCCCTACACCGTCAAGGGCATGGACTGCTCCTTCACCGGCATCCTGGCCGCCGCCGACGCCCTCGCCGCCGACATACACGCCGGCACCGCCGACTTCACTCCCGAGGACCTGTGCTTCACCCTGCAGGAGACTGTCTTCGCCATGCTCGTCGAGATCACCGAGCGTGCCATGGCCCACGTAGGCTCCAACCAGGTCCTCATCGTCGGCGGCGTCGGCAGCAACGAGCGCCTGCAGCGCATGATGGGCGACATGGCCCGCGACAGGGGCGGCTCCGTCTTCGCCACGGATGAGCGCTTCTGCATCGACAACGGCATCATGATCGCCCACGCTGGCCTGCTGGCCTACAGGACCGGCTTCCGCACTCCGCTCCAACAGAGCTCCTGTACACAGCGTTTCAGGACCGACGAGGTCTTTGTCAATTGGAGGGATTGAATCTGATTCTGCCTGGCTGTTTCTGTCTCTCTCTTCTCAAGCGATTCCAACCATGTGACCTTTTTCTATCTCATGTGATTCACCGTATGTGCCGTGTGAGGAAGAGGGGAATATTGTAATGTGTAAATTGTCGTGTCTCCATATTGAAATTCCAATTGTCCATCCGTCCCAGCCGTCCTTGTATGTATATCTCGACTGTCACATCTCCAGCCCTAGCACTCACTCCAAAGATAAAACGCCGCCCCCCCCCCCCCAAATAAAAGAAAGGAAAAAAGATGGCACGTCAAGCATTAAGAAGAGTTGATTACATCCAATTACCCATCATCTGCCGAAGTAGGCTTGTAGATGATTGTCGTGACGTACTGGATTAGATTGTCAACACAAGTTGCTGGCACGCAGTCGTCGTCGTAGCAAAACAGGACGATCATGGAAAGAGCCATAGAAAAGATAAACATACCTTGTTCTTGTACCTGGTTGTCGCCGACACGGCCAAAACACCGTTCTTGATACTGCTGGTAGCCAGGTGATTGAGGACAGTATGGTTAGGCATACCGAGAACACTGTTATCATCCTTCATGAGGACGGCAGCGTTGAGGATGGGTTTGCCCAGGAAGCCCGGAAGGCTAGGAGGCGTGGGGAGCTTCTCGATGGCCGACACGGCCCTCTGGTACGCGGGTGACTCTTCGGCCTGGTCAAAGTCCTGGAGGTACTGGGGGATCTCGCGGCGGTAAGCCTCAGGCGGGGGCACGGACCTGACGCGCGGGGCCGGCTTGGCGGCTTTGCTGTCATCCTTGGAGATGGATGACGTGCGCGACGCGTCCCGGCTGCCATCGTCGGGGGTCACCGACGACGACGTGCCCTGGTTACCGCTTCCGCTTCCGCTCCCGCTCCCACTTCCGCTCCCGTTCCCGTTGCCGCTGCCGCTGCCGCTCCCCTGCTTGTGTTGCGAGCTCTGGTGGCGGTGGTAGTGGTGGCGACGTCGGTAGGTGGCGTCGTCCGGGCTGACCTCTATGTAGTTCACCAGGTTGTTGCCAAAATCGACGGTCGTGGGGAGGTCGGGCGATGTCTGCATGATGCCGTCGACTAGGAAGCGCACGTGGTGGGTGCCGGGGAGGACCGGGATGGTGGCAGAAAAGTAGCCTGGCCGTCCTTCGCTGTTGACAAGAAGAATCAGAGGAGCCAGGAAACAAGAAGTGGGCCAGGCAAACATCAGAGGGGGGGGGAAGGGGGGAGGGGGGGAACATACACTGGGTTCAGCCGCTGCTTTCTGTTCCATTGGAAGATGGAACCGGTGACATAGATCTTGTCGCCACCGCGTTTCCACTCAATCTTTGTAGGGACAACGGGTCTCGTCTTGTCGACCCGCAGCTCGTCCGTGTCCTCGTCATCGCCGGCCGTGTTGGTGCTGACGCCGGACCCCTTCCTGGTCAGCCCGTCGGATGAGTAGGATCCGGCGCCCTCGCTGCCACCGCCGCCGACGGACATGTCGGGAGGGCGGTCGCCGGCGGCGTCGACGGGACCCAGGATGGGCGACCCGGGTGTGTGCACCTCCTCCTCGATGGGGAGGGGTAGACGGGGCGGGCGAGCCAGGTGGTACGTGTCGGTGATGCTGCTGACGTACGTGAGCTGGTCGCTCTGGGCCGTGGACATGTCGGAGTTGTAGTGGGCGTGAGCGCCGGACGACGACAGGTTCGTGCCGGCGCCTGTCCCTCCCTCTCCGCGGGGTACGTCGACGGGCTTGGAAGGCTCATCAGAAGGAGGGGGAGGCACCGTCGTCAGCGGTGCAGCCGGCACAGAAGGGGAAGTGGCCGCGGACATGGAGTTGGACATGTTGGACGTTGCGGCCGAGGCGGCCCTGGCCCCCGCACTGGTGCCCGTCAGAGGGGAAGCGCTGCTGTGCGGTGAGCCGCTGAGCGAGGATACGGCCGTGCTGCCGGGGATGCTCTTGGGTCGGCTGGCGACGGTGGACCCGCGGGCCTGGGCGAGGGATGCCTCGGGCGGGACGGCGGATCGGTTGTGCGTCGTGCTAATGATGTTGCGTGCACTGCGGCGGCTGGGCCGCGGGGATTGAGAGCCCGGCTGGGATGGGGTCGTAGGCGTGGATTGCGACGACGCCGCTGCCGCTGGCGTCTGATCTTGACCCTGGCCTTGAGCCGATGGAGCCGAAGGGTTGTTGCCCATGATTCTGAATCGGAAGGGGGAGGAGGTAGATAGATTGTAGCTTGACTCTCTCTCTCTCATCAATTCTACGGCTGCGGGCCGTGCATTTCCCCGAGGGGAGGGAGGGAAAGGGTAGCAGGGATGAAGAGAAGGAAGAGAAGGAGAGGGAAGAGAGAAGAAGAGGGGAGGAAGGAGAAAGATGATGATGGACGTCGGGGATGGAAGGAGAGGGTCTGATTATGAACGTAGCGAGAAGGGATTCCCTGGTTCGTGGGTCAGTGATGATTTGTTGGATATGGGTGGGCGAGTTGAGAGAAGCTGGTGGACGAGGGGGAGATCAGAGTGCGCATTGGGATATGTTCATATACATCTATCCAGGTCGAGAGACCGCGTAAGCCGAGTGCCTATCTACCTATGAATATGTACCTCTACATACATGATCGCATGCAGCCATCCATTCCTCCCCCCCCCCCCCCCCCCCCCACACACACACCAGCTCGAAGAGCCCCCGTCGCTCTCATCGTGTTTCCACCTCTCCATTATACCATATATCTTCTATCTTCTCTCTTCATGCCTGATCATCCGACACTCGTTTTCTTTTCATTTGTTCTCTCCATGTCCATCTAATCTAGAATCTCGTCGTCGTCGTTTCTTTGCGCGTTCCTACTAAGTAGACACTGTCGTCATTCTACTATCAGCTTTGTGACGTCGACTCCTGCTCATCTCTCCACTTCCCGCAACTCTCTCTCTCTCTATCCCCTCCCAATCTCACAAGACATCACCGACAATCGACAGAGGGAGAAGAAAAGACACTACAGAAGCAGTCATGGCAGAAGCCGCAGGAGGTATGGCCGTAGCAGTGGAGTACGTCGGCGCCGTGGCCGCCGCCGTCGCAAGCGTCCACTGGTCGTGGTGGTTCTCCCACATCGCCGCGCTTGTCTACTGGCCTGTGAGTGTGATCATGGCGCCTCTGTCATTCATCGGCCGTGTGGTTCTGGCCATTCTCTCGCCTGGGATATACGTCGCCTCGTTCTTCGTGTTCGCTGGTAAAGGGGTTGTGGGGTTTCTCATCAGTCTTGAGGTAAGTCACCGCCTACCTGCTCTCCTTCTCTCTCTCTCTCTCTCTCTCTCACTTCACCAAGCTAATGATCATCACCACCAGCCTCTATACATATTCGTACGTCTCTCTCCATCTCCCCCTTCAATCCTCCACTTACTATTCCAGAGAGCGAGCACGTGTATGAAGAGAAAGAACTGACATGATCAGTTTGGTGTCGCCGCCCTGGTCGGCTCCCTGACTGGCCTGACCGTCGCCCTCACCTCAACCCTCTTAACCTCCCAGCTTGGCCTGCAGGACTCCCCTAACGACAAGTTCTACCATCTCTCCCAGAGGAAGAAGGGACTCTACGCGCCTTACAACAACAAGGCACGGTACCGCGACATGTCAGCCCCGACGTCATCGTCGGACGATACGCTCCAGAGGCGTGATGGCTGGGGCAAGCTACGGCAGCAGCAGCAGCAGCAGCAGCAGCGTCATCGTCGCCGCTTCGACGGCATGGGTGCACGAGTGACATCCGCCGGTCTCTTGTCACAGACCATTCATGAGGAGGATGACTGATGTCTTGGCTTGATCCCGACACCTTCTTACCCCCTCTTTTCTTTTCTTTTTCTTTTTTTTTCTGATACTCTGATATTCGGGCCATCTGCTTTTGCTACTCTTCTTTCGCAGGCGTGTTTCTTTTACGAGGAAAGTTGAAGAGTGAAGTGATTTCCATCTGGTTGTGTACATTTATCTGTACGATCATAGTATATTTTAATATTTAATATGTCTTTCTCTGCTCCGACGTTGTGGATATCCTCTTCAAAAGAGAGAAACGAGAGCCAAGATAAAAAAAGAATATGTTTTGTTGAACGCCACATGTCATTACACACTATCCTACCTGTACTCCCCTATGACATTAATCAGCACACGACTCCCTCTCCCCTCAGATCAACGTCTGTACATCTCAGTACGCTCCCTCTCCCTATCTCGTTCGCGCGTCCTGTCGTGATTGGGCGATCGGCTTCGGCTACGCGTCAGCCGGTCCTGCCACCGCTCGTCCCTCGGGGGCGGTCGCACGGGTCGTCTGTCGTCCCTGGGACGGTCATCTGGTGGGGGTCCACGGTAGCTGGGGATGTACGTGTCCACGTCTCCGCCGCCGCGCGGGGGCAGTGGCCGGGGCCTGTCGTCGCGCGGAGGTGGGCGGGACGGCGGAGGACCGCGCTCCCGCTGCCACGCCGGTCGCCGGTCATCGCGTACACGCCCTCCGTTGGCGCCGCTCCTACCGTACGGGTCGCTGCTGTTGAAGCCCGCCGTTGCCCCATTGGCGTCCGGGCCGATGCCGACGGTGCCTCCCTTGGGTGCCGGCGGAAGATTGGCTTTGCGGTCGTGGAACTTTCTGCGGTCCAGCTCGTGGCTCTCCTCAAACGTCGGGATATCGCTTGGGCGCAGCGGCAGCGGTGACATCTTAAAGTACGGGTGCTCGATGGCGTCGGCGGCATTGATCCGCGTCTTCCAATCCAGCTTCAGGAGCTCCTTGAGCAAGCTTATCACCCCTTGTCCGTAACTGTCGGATCGTCTCATGTCAGTAACAGATGATCAGAGTCACGTTCACGCCATGGCCGCGTCATGGTGACGAGCCAAGCAGTTTCGACGTACTCTCTGAAGCGGCTTTGTAGGTTGCCCGGGCGAGGGCGCGGTGTCAGATGGTGACCGCCCGGCAGGAGCCTCCATCCGGGCATGTTGTCGTCGCTCGGCGAGCCCATCAGGTCCCAGATGAGCTCTAGCTGGTGCGGGTCGCTCTCGCCCGACAGGATGGGCTTGCCGACCAACATCTCACCAAAGATGCAGCTGGTTTCGAGCCGAGGTCAGTTCAGGCATTTCGAAGTGCAGTCAATCGGGCCAATCGACGGCAATGGGAGGTAGCGCAGACTCACCCAACACCCCAGACGTCAATGGCCGTCGTGTACTGCCTGAGCTGGAGGAGCAGCTCCGGAGGCCGGTACCACCTGGTGACGACCAATCCGGTGTAGTCTCTCCGGCCTTCGCCCATGGGCTGGCCGGGAACAGGGACCGGGCCGTCGTAGTGCCTCGCCAGGCCAAAGTCGGCAATCTGCAGGATCCCCTGGTTGTTGATGAGGAGGTTGGCGGCCTTCATGTCGCGGTGGAGGATGTGGTTCTCGTGGAGATAGCGCAGCCCACGCAGGAGCTGCAGCATGTAGCACTTGATCTGGGGCTCTTTGAAGTGGACCGACGGGTTATCGAGCAGGCCGGACAGATCGTGATTCATATAAGGCATGACCATGTACATTATGGGCTTCTTGCGTTTGTCGGCTGGGCGCGAGCATGTGTCAGAACAGGCGAGAGAGCAGGCGAGAGAGCAGGCGAGGGAGTGAGTTGGCGGTGGCAATGCTTACCTTGCTTGGTGGGGTGTTCGACGGCCATGTCTTCTAGGCCGACAACATTCTCGTGGCACAGGAGCTTGAGAAGCTTGATCTCGCGTAGGGCGGTGATGGGGAACTAGATGGGGTCTGGTCAGAGAACGGTAGGTGCCATGTCGCAGGTCTCCAACAACATACGCCGTCCTTCTCGTGATGCATAATAATCTTCTTCAGGGCAACTAGGGCGCCCGTCTTTCGTGAGCGGGCACGGTGAACCTCACTGGCGACAGTGTTAACATGCGACGCGGAGCAGGGCACAGGAGGCAGGAGCCCTTACCCAAATGTTCCCTCTCCCAGCTTGCCCTGAAGCTCATAATCTGCTATACGCGAGCATCCCTGGTATGTCCTTTTGGGTCGCTGGTGGTTGGGGGTCAATGTGCGCGGCGAGGTGCCCTCGGGGGTGCGCTCCGGAGCCCTTTCCATCGTGGTGGGACGACGCGGGGAGGGTCTCGTGGGAGGAGGCGATGGGCTGTCGCGACGAAGGGGTTCAGGGCGCGAAGGCCAGCGAAGTTATTGAGTCGTCCGAATGACAGTCAAGTACAGCATTGCTTTCGGTAGTGGTTCTGAGTTCTGCTGGGCTGAGTGGCTTGTGAAGGGGGTTGAGCCCGATGTGGTTGTCTCTCAGCTTGGGCGAGGTCGGGATAGTGATGCCGGTCAAATGTAACGATGGCCGAGCCGGGTGCGAGTAGGATAGAAGTCAAGGATAAGGGAAACGACACGAGAAGTTCCAATCCCGAAACAAGTGTATAGAAGCCGGTCTAGAAGATAGGATGGACGACGGTTGCAGCGATGGCACGGCGCATGGTTGGGTGATATGCGACGCGGAAAGGTGAGAAGTGCTAAGAGATTGAAAAGCAAAAAGACAGACTGGTGACGGAATTGTGGATTTGCCCATTAGTGATTGAGTGTCAGGTTAATAGTATAATAATACGGAGTATAATGGACATGCATGCCTGATTACGGAGGGCGGTGTATCATGGCAGAACTCTCTAGAGGTCGGCTGCACGGTACGGGCGAGATGCATCACCATAGATATGCACGTACTCCGTACAGTGATATAACAGCACCTAGAGTCCTGGCCTACAGCGCTCCTCACCCTCTCGGTCCCCAATGAGGTACAGTAGGTATTTATTATTGGGGAATAGTAAAAAAAAAAGAAAAAAGAAAAAGACAACGGAAAGGAAGGAACCATGTAGATGATTCTACATTTCAAAACTGGCAACTGCCATTCTCGTTGAATACGCATATTCAATTGCATTATTCCTCTATACTATATTTATTCTTGTATAGCATCATTCCTCATTCAACAGAACTCCATGGCATCCCCGCTCCTCTCGTGTATTGGTATCATCAATCTTCCTTCTCCTCTTTTGTCTACTACAATCTACAACCACGTACGGAGTAATCTGTACGTAATACTACGAGTATCATCACTACTAACAATACTGTACTATCACGAACCACTATACTACTACTACTACTACTACTACTACTACTACTACTACTACTACTATCACTACTACGCAGGACCATGAACATGGAAACATCCAATACCGACACATTTATTCGTACCCATGCGTACCGCTCCTGCTACTCATACACCAATACCTCACCTCACTACAGGAACAAACCCTCCCATATTGGCAACTGCCATAGCCTCGCCCAACTCCCGAACCAGGGGATCCACCCGCACGACATGCTCAAGAGGGACTCGATGCACCATGACTAAAAGAAATCCATCAAAAATTTCCCCGGTTGGGTGGCGACTTGGGAGTGAAATATATCCTTCAACATCCCGAGGGCTTCAGTTATTTCCTTGTCTGGGTCTCGGTCTACTACTGTACACCCAGCTGCCTTTGGGGGTGCACGGTGCAGATACATGAGTCGTCAGCAAGTTCCGTGTCTACAATCTTGTCTACCAGCCCGGTTGCTTCGCTTACAAGCCCGGCTCCAGTCCATATTGCCCCCTCTCCTAAAAGCTTCCGGCCATCATCTCATAGCCATTCACGAGTGACGGCCGTTCCTGATGAGCCAGGCAGACAAGCTGGACGACATCCAGAGGAAAAAGCGGCGTGTCGAGGTCGACGCAGGAGCCAGCAACATCACACGGTCCACCATGGGACCTGCTCAGACGTCATCTTCGGGACTCGACACAAACCTCCCAGAGTCTCGAGTCCTCATCATTGGCACCGGTGGTACCATATGCATGCAGAATGGCCCCGACGGCCTCCAGCCGACCGAGCGCTTCATGGAGATGGCCATGGCTCCCAGGCCCGACTTTAATGACCTGACGAGTCCGAGAGGTACGTCTGTCGTTATTGCCAACACTGTTGATGCCACTGCTCGGCCCCCACTCATCTCATCACATCACATCGCCGCAAGCGCCAGCACCCGACTAACACGAGAGCCCTCCCCGCGCAGTCCAGCTCCAGGCCATCCACGGTGGCCGTCTGCTCACCCTCGACAGCCTTCGCACTCCGCCCACGGCCTACCAGCGCCATGTACGTTACACCATGATTGAGTTTAACCCGCTGCTGGACTCGAGCTCTATGAGTGCCCAGGACTGGGCCGCCATGGCCCTGGCCGTCAAGGCCAACTACCATCTGTTCGATGGTTTCGTCATCCTGCACGGCACCGACTCGCTGGCCCACACGGCTTCGGCCCTCTCCTTCATGATGGAGAACCTGGGCAAGCCCGTCATCCTCACCGGATCCCAGGCCCCCATCTTCTCGCTCCAGTCGGACGCCGTCGACAACCTGCTAGGCTCCCTCATCATTGCCGGCACCTTTGTCATCCCCGAGGTGTGTCTCTTCTTCCATCACAACCTGTACCGCGGCAACCGCGCCACCAAGGTGTCGTCGGCTTCGTACGAGGCCTTTGACAGCCCCAATTTCGAGCCGCTCGCCCGCGTCAACGGCCTGGGCATCCACGTCAACTGGCCCATTGTCCTCCGCCCCACCACCATTGCCGGCCTGAACGTCGCCACCGACCTGGACACGGCCCACGTCGCCTGTCTTCGCATCTTTCCGGGCATCAAGCCCGAGATGCTCGACGCCGTCCTGCGCCTCCCCAACATACGAGGCCTGATCCTCGAGACATTCGGCATGGGCAACGTCCCCGGCGGCGCCGACGGCCCGGTGACGCGTGTCATCCGCGACGCCATCAACCGCGGTGTCATCGTCATCAACGTCTCGCAGTGCGTCGCCGGCTTCGTCTCCCCCGTCTACGCCCCCGGCACCCACCTGGGTCGTGCCGGCGTCGTTTTCGGCCTGGACCTCACGGTCGAGGCCGCTCTGACCAAGCTGTCGTACCTCCTCGCGCGCGCCGACCTCTCCCGCGAAGAAATGACCAAGCAGCTCACCCTCTCCATCCGCGGCGAGATGACGGAGCTAGCACGCACCACCTTCTCCCATCCTCTGTCGTCCCTCGACCAGGCCGCCGAGCGCCTCAGCCCCACAGAGCTCGCCTTTGCCGCCCTAGGCCACTCCATCCAGAAGGGCGACCTCGAGTCCGTCCGAAACCTGGTGGCCGGCGACGCCGCCCACCAACTCCTCACCCACGCCGACTACGCCGGCAACACGGCCGTCCACCTAGCCGCCATTTCGGGGTCGTCGGCCGTTCTGCGCGAGCTCCTGGAGAGGGGAGCGAGTGTCCACGAGCGCAACCGCGCCGACAACACTCCCTTGTTCCTCGCCACTCTATCGGGTCAGAATGACTGCGCTGCTCTCCTCAGACAGGCTGGTGCTCACTTGTCCGCCGAGGAACTCGAGAGGGGTCCCCTCAAGGCCTGAGGGACATGCATGAAATCCAACGACAGGAAAGGATCGCGAGAAGAAGAAAAAGAAACAAGATGCTTTCAGTTTCAACTTGATACTTGAAATAGCTTTATATATACCACACATACATCATCTTACACCTCGACCGTAATCTTTTTTTTTTTTGGAAAAATAAAATAAAATAAAACGCCATAATAAAACAACGCTTGACTTGGGTAAAATACCACCTTGTCCAACGTCACGTATACTTTTATTGCGTACTCGATTAGACCTATACGTACGACACTGGCATGACTGCAAAGTGCACCTCATATTGGAATAATGAAACATTGCTTTCCATTTACAAAGCGCTGTTGAATCAACATTTTTATGATTCTCTCATCTCTCACCCCCCCTCCCTCAGACATATAACTTGTTTTCCTCATAACTCTTTCATGTATATCTTGTTCATCTCAATGTTCTCCTCTTGTCTCCATCTTTATCTTGCTTTCGTTATTTTCAGTATTGAGCACACATATAGACATGTGCTGGTGCTCAAAACATCAAAAGGAGAAACAGAAACAGAAGAAGAAATAAATAAAGAAGGGGTAGCCCTCCCCTGTTCACAGGAAGTTCTAAAAGCCCAAGACATCCTCTCCCTCCTCCCATCATAATACAACAAACAACTCGACTCCTTTTGCTCATCGCAAAAAGAGATCTCCCGTCCCGTTCCTCATGGCCCTCGCCCTGTCCACGTGGTCTAGACCAAGGTAGTCGTCCTCTGTTGCTGCCAAATCCCAAAGCACGTCATCTGCAAGAGCACGGTTAGTCATATTTTTTACTCGAATCACTTCGCTCATATGAAACCGCTTACCATCATTCAAATAGTGCGGCTTCGAGTAGCTGGACCGCTTCACGACGGCAAACTTAATCTTCTCAAAGCTCTTGCCCTTCAGGCCTGTGCGCTTCTCCAGGCGCTTCTTGGTGTCGGCGAATTTCTCTCCCTGAAAGTGGAGAGGGAGGTTAGCCACGGTGGAATGCATAGGAGCGGTGCTTGGTAATGATACGTACCTCGACCAGCAGGAACCTAAAGGGAGCTCCGTGTGTTCGGTTGACCTCGTTCTGGAAATGGAACACCTGAATAAAGTTGTTCTCCTCGGCACCAACTTCCTCCTCCGGTACCCGCTCGGCGTATATCTGGGTGTAGTCGCTGAGGTTCGAGACAGCATTCTCCCTCGGAGGTTCGCGGCAAACCCGATTGGAGCTGGCCTCATACACCCTTATCCTTCCTGATTCGGTCTCGTCAGGAAGCTGAGCTTTCTTTATTAGAGCCTGGATGAGATCCTCGATCGTACCCGACTTGGGTACCAGCACGTCGTACTGCTCCTCCTTCGAGATGCCCTCGCTGAGCCAGTTCACCTTGATGCTCTTCTTGGTATCAAACTCAGCCAGGCTCATGTCGAGGATCTCCAGGTAGAAGGCATCATTCCTCTGGCTCGAGCTGAAGCTGTTGGTTCCCATGGGATGCAGAATCTGCTTCAGGGTGGGGTTGGTGCTGCGCCTGACCGGCGCCTTGGGGTTATTGGTCGAGGCATTTACTGTCCAGAAACGAATGTGTGTCGACGGCACCCCGAGATGGGCACCAACCTTTTCAGAGACTGTGTCGTAGTTGATTTTGGAACTGAGCACCAATTCAAAGGGATCAAATGGCGTTCCCTCGTTCCTGGTTGGGTGGGCGAGGAATTTGACGACCCTCTTGTGCTCGAGGAAATCATAGTACTCCCTAGCATCCTCGAAACGGTCTGAGTGCTTGCTGAGCCTAGGAGCCGGTTCGAATCAGTATCGCCTCGCCCCTTTCACCGTCATCCACACATTCAGGCGCGCCCTCGTTCGACTTACTGCTCTTGGGAGGTGGGCTTCTCAGCCGACTGATCCTTGTTCTCGGGGGCTTTCTGGAAGCAGACAATGTCTCCGTCCTGGAGCTCGGCGGCCTTCATGGACTGCTTGGGCTTGAGAGGCTCAATCATGGTGGGTTTGATTTCCTGCCAGGTTTCTTAGCAAACATCATTCGTCTCAGGAACCAGAGACCTCATCTCAGCTTACCTCCCAGAGCAATAGCTTGTCCTCGCCTTCCAGCTTGTCGCCCCAGCCCATCTTCTGGGCAATAAACGGCACGAGTTCTTCCACCTTCTTATCCTTTCCGACATAGGCATGGCCAACGCCCCTCAGGGTCTGGTTCTCCGTATCAAAGTACTTTAGTAGTAGGAGGATGTTGTCGTTCTTGGCGGGGGCTCCATTGGGCTGACTCGAGTACGACGGCCAGATGGCATTACCGTCCTGGTCCACCTCGGTCGCATCTTCAACCCAGACACGAAGGCAAGTATCTCGGGAGGCTGCCGATTTCGAGTAGATGTCCTCGATAGTCGGTGCCAGATCCATGACAGGCTGGTCGGGTCGAATCGTCTTGTTCAGGCGATTAACCATGACCCAAAGGCGCATCTTCTTGGGATCCTTACCAAGCTCGGAGGCAAGGAATCTCAGAAAATCGCCAGCAGTCATTGACCTCAGGACGCGGTATGAGAGAGGTGCAGAAGGGTCCGATGCGGGCTCGGCATCCATGACGCCTAGGTCGGTGCCACTATAGTTGGCGAACGTTTCATTGGTAACGACCTTGGCAATCATGTAAAGGTGCGCTTCCTTCTGCTCCCGTCTCCGAGCTTCCTTGAGAGCAGTCTCTTCCTCGAAGCGTTGCTCTGTATCACGTCAACAAACGCGACTAGACAGTACGGGGGTAGAGGGGCTAGAAGGAGAAGGGATACTCACGGAGCAGTCTTGGGGCATCGGCCTTAGTGACGGGGCACAGGACCTTGTCGAGGCGGGACTGGCGAATATACACCAGCATGTAGGCGCTGTTCTGGCGCATGATAGGTGCTTTCTTCTGTGGGAGGGCGCGCGGGTACCCGTTAGGTGTCCTGTACTCGCCACCGAAATTCTCTTCCAACACCTCCCTCATCGTGGCTTTCGTTACCCGGTCGTCGTCGTACTTGTAGAACCAACCGTCCTTTTCGGGCTTCAGGAAAGCGTAGTAGTGACCGGCATTGAGGTCACCACTGTGGACGAGGACGCCATGTAGTTGGTAGGTCCAGGGCTCGGAGGTTTTATCAGAGTCCTGTGAGAGGTACGGTGCGGCGTCGAAGACATCAGGGAACTCGTATCGGTCGTTGATCTTCATCATCATGTCTCGCTGAATATCGTATTCAAAACGCTTCAGCTGCAAGTGCAGGACGTCGGGAAAGCTGTTGAAGATGACACCCTTGTTGGCGTCCTGGAGCTTGTATTGGTCTCCGGCAAAGTACTGATTCTCGCCTTCCAGCTTCTCGACCTGGATGTAATCCTTGAATGAGTCAAGCAGGGTCTTGTTACCGGTCACGTTGAGCTGAATGTCCCAGAAATCTTCGATGCGGCTTGATTCGTAGTCCACATTGATGCAGGAGATGAAGGTCTTGATCTTGCCGCTGAAGATCTGCGCAAGGACGTTCTCGGCCTTTGTGCCCTTCATCTTCTCCTCGAGACGCTCCATGAGCTTACGGGAGAGCTCCTGAACGTCTTGCTGCTCGAAGATGTGTCGTGTCTCCCAGCCAAAAGACTTTGTGAGCTCATTGGTGCCGACAGCCTGGTCGGAGGTCTGAAGCTGGTAGAACAGCCTTTGCAGAGTGTATGCGCTGTTCTGCATGCTCTGTTCGTTTTCTGTGGGTATCTCGTATACGGCCTGCCATTGTCAGTCAACACTGTGGGGGAGTTTGGTAGACCGAGCCGGGGAGGCCAGCACGTAGGAGCACCAAGCATACCTTGCGAAAAGCATTTGTGAAGTAAAGGGACTGGAGAAGAGAGTTCAGATAGCAGGTAGCGCCCTGGTTCTTGAGACCAACAAAGCCCGTCTCCTTTTTAGAGTCGTAGTTGGTGAAGTTGTGCCACAGAACACCGGTCTCATCATCTACCACACGAACGTAGGCCGTGATGTTGGCCGTATCATTCTCGCACAATGGGCGGCTGCCACCCTCCCAAGGAACATTGAACATCTTACGCAGTTCGACGAAGCGGGTGAAGCCCCAATCGCCCTCTTCCTTCGTGAAGCGGTGGTGTGCGGCATGGTGGCAGTGAAGACGGGGGTCTGCGGGGTTCCAGAGGACAAGGCCGAACTGAACGCAGCAGCTCCAATTCTCGGGGACTTGGTCTGGCTCGAAGCCGTGTTCGAGGTAGATGGAGCACTGGTCGACGCTGTTGCCTTGGGGGAACAGCAGAATACGCCTACAGAGCAGATATGCCGTGTGAGCAGTGATGCTCTCTCGTCGCGGGTCGACTGGGAGGAGGTAGAACCTACCATGGGTAGCCACCAGCATGGAAGATAGGGCCGTGATCCTTCTTGCCCCGGGCATGCCAGTCGTCGATCTGCCAGGTGTGCTCGACATCCTCGACGATCTTGGGCTCGTCGACCAGAGGCGGCAGAACCAGCTCTCTCATGGCGTCATCTAGACCCTTTTATGTTAGTCGGATGACTAGCGGTCAAGAGTCTGGGTAGTTGGGGGGACGAAACGCACGGTCGGTGGCGAGAGGAATATCTTGTAGCTGGTCTCCTTCCTGCTCGAGGTTATCGGGGTTGATGATGGCCACTGGATCCTTCTCGGGGTCGTTGTCAACGCCGACATAGTCGCCCGTGTCCATGAGCATTTCGTTTGGTGAGGGTATGTCGTAAGCCTGATTTCGGCGCAGGAGGTTAGCTTTGAGCCGCACGGGCAGAGAGCTGGTGGTGAGGCGATGCATCATGACGAGGGGATATACTGATTGACAGGGTACAAGGCGGGGAGGATATGGACAAGGGGTTTGGTAGCTTCGAGCGGCAGTAGTAGTAATAGCAGAGCAGTAGCAGTAGCAGTAGCAGTAGTAGTAGCAGCAGTAGTAGTAGTAGTAGGAGGCAGGGTAGTAGAAAGTGAAGATGCTGGGTGAACAAGATGAACAGTTGGGTCTCTTGGGAAGAATAATTTCGGTGGAGTGGCCAGGATTTCTACACCACCGAATGAATTCAACCCATAAAGGTATTAGGAGAGGGAAACAGATAACAAAGAAACAAGGGCGGGATGAAGAGAGGAGCGGATGATGTGCAGGGTGATGAAGCGATGAGGGTGGCGATGACGAGTTGGTCCCCAAGGCGGGATTATCGACGACAATAATCCACGACAAATGGGCAGGCTGTGACACAACTAGGGAAGAATATGAGCAGCTGCCTGACGGTTGCCGTGGGATTGCCAATTGCCAAACGACGATGACAGCAGCTAAAGGACGACAGCCAGACGACAGCTAGCCGGCAGCTAGTCGACAGCTAATCGACAGCTAGTCATGGACAGCAACCAGACGGGAACAGACCGACAGATGCTACACGGGGCAGAGGCCCAACGAGGTTCCCAGGCAGGTACGACGATGGCGGCGGACGGGGAAGGTAGGACGCATTGTGAGGAAAGACGGCAGGCGCACGTCACATGGGAGAGCGAGCAGGTACGGAGGGAGTAACTCCAAGCCAGCTCAGGTGGCGCCCTCTCTCACAAGTCTCACCTCACGACCCGTCACCGTACAACCGTTGTCACCAGGTTATCATGGGCTTGGATGCCTGCACTCTCCCACATGTGTGGCGCGCACGAGCCGCCGAAGGGGGAGGGAAGGAAAACGGGACTGGGGAAGGGGGGGGGGGGTAACAGAGGGTACGAGTCGGCCATCTCTTCTTTCTCTTCTTTCTTCTTTCCTTCTTTCATTGTCTCCATTCCGCAAAACTCACCATTTTCACGGGAGCCCACAGGGTACTCCTGAGGATACTCCTGGGGTAGGCGCAACGGCGACAGCAACAAACGGTCTCTGCTGGACTGGAGGCGGCGGCTAGGGGTGGGGAGTGCTAGGAGATATCTGCAGGTCCCTCTTGCTTTCTCGCACAGTCCTCTTTATTCGATCGCAGACGTTGGCTTCTCTCGGTTCGTATCGCAGTCCGTGGGGGGGAGTGTAAGGAAGGGGTTATCCAGAATAATGGTGATAATAGTCGTAGTCGAAGATGGGAGGTTTGATCCGAGCAACAGCTTGCTGACGACAAGTCTTTTCGTTTGTTTGTTCGGTGGACCAGGCCGGGCCGGAGGGCAACAATGTCGAAGTTTTGCTAGAAAGTGCGAAGGCCGAAAGAAGTTCCAAGGTGGGGAGGGGCGAGTGATGACACGATCAACCCGAAGGCCATTTTTTGGTGGGCCGGGACCGCTGGACTGTACAAGTACGCGGCGGTGCTAGTCGCTTAGTGAGCTTTCGGCACCAGTAGCACCAGTAAGATCAGAGAGGCAGTCCCGTGGAGTGCGAGGTGGCCAAGGCTTAATGGAGTATTAGCTGGGACTCGTGAACTGCTGAAGCGGAGTAATGAGGGGGATCTGTTTGCCCACGACAAGGGGTTTCCCTCGATGACTCTTCAAATGCGTGGGACTGCCACTTTTGATCGAATCCACATGTACGAGTAATACAGAGGTGAGCGGGATGAGGGATGGGAACTGCAGACACCAAGGGGTATGACAAGACTATTCTTTCATAGCACTTACTGTACACTGCCAGCTACGACTATTAGCTCCCAAGTGCTTGGAATGATAGTGCGATACTTTCCCTCTCTGTCAGATTTAGTCCATCATTCTGGGTACACGGCTAACTGTTGGTAACTGTTGGCCCAACTGCTTGTCCGACAGGCAGCAAAGAAGCATTCATTTCCTCCTGCTCGATGACGTCTCTCTGTATCATTATGCCGGTTGAAAGCTCAGCATAATACCCGGTACTTGTCTTGGGGGAAAATCATGTTCCATTACACCGCTGGATTAATGTCTGTCAGATGCTATCCAACATTTGGTAACAACTCACTGGCGTCTTGTCAATTGCCATATCAAAAAAAAGTATCATTGAGATTAGGCATGTATAGGTCGTACCATGATTCTTATGCTGGTAGCTGTTGATGTTATGCAGCCCGATGGCGAAGGTGATGTGGGGTTGGCAACCCTGGACATAAAAGAAGATGCAGCGCTCACATATAAAAGGCAGCCATATGTCCGTGGCTATTTTGTCACCAACCCTGGGAAGCGGATGCGTCATTCGCACTCTGAACTCGACCGGAACGACCCCCCCCCCCCCCCAAAGAAAGAGCTCCCCTCCTTCCTCGCCCTAGATTGCGCACAACCTACGACTATTCGTATTCAATACACGACGCCCGAGGCCTTCGGATAATACCCTCGACGCATGGGATGACCGCAGGGATGCTTGCCAACTCCCTGCGACACGCCAGTAGACGGCCCCGGAAACTGACCGCCGCGACACCGACACCGATCATCAACATTCCGTCGTCATTGTCGATCTGTATCTCCCTTGGGAGCCGCGAGACGGTGCGGACAGCCAGCAATTCAGCATGGCGGCCAGTCAGCGTCCTAGACGAGTACGTCGTGTGATACACGACAGACAAACAAAAATGACTACTGTGCTGACAATTTGGGGGGGGGGGGTCGTGTTTGGATTAGATGGGTTGCCAAGGAGGCACGACCGATCAGTCTGCGGCAGCTCATGGTGTTTGGACGGTCCTTGACAGAAGAGAGGCTGATAAGTTCTGCCAACTATGTTCGAACGGAACTACCTACCAGGTAACGATCCCCCTCTCCCCCTTCCTTGCCTTCGACAAGACTGACCGGTTCTTTCTTTCTTATCTCTTCAAAAAAAAAAAGAATAGCACATAGGATACGGGACATCCAGCATCTCCCGTACGTGGTGGTGACGAACCCTCACATCAACGACGTGTACAACCTCTACTACAGCGCATTCGACAAGTTCCGCAAGGTCAAGGAGGTCAAGACGCTCGACGACAACGACCGCATGTGCGAGGTGATAAGCGACAACCTGAAGATGCACCTCACAGTCATCCCCAAGCTGGCCATGGGCATCCACGAGTGTCAGGGGCTCATAGATGCCAAGGAGATGGATCGATTCATGAATACCATTCTGAAATCAGTACGTCACAAAAAGAAAAAAGAAAAAAATCCAATTTCTCTTGAAGAGCAAGGGCAACGCAGAGGAGAGAAGAGAAAAAAAGACTGACAGATACCCTCTAGCGCATATCCCGTCGCGTCATTGCAGAGCAGCACCTATCACTGACGGAGACGTACAACTCCCCTTCCTTCTCTCCCGGCGCCAAGCTCTCCGAGTCTGACTTCATTGGCGAAGTCTTCATAAAGTGCGTGGCAAAGGATGTTATAGAGAGCTGCGCATCGGCCGTCAAGCACATCGCCCGCTCGACCAACCCTCCTGACGTGCAGATACCCGAGATCCGCATAGAGGGCCACCTGGAGGCCAGCTTCCCCTTCATCCTCAGCCACTTGGAATACATAATCGGGGAGCTCCTCCGCAACTCTGTCCAGGCCGTCATCGACCGCCATCACTCCCCCCCCTCCTCCTCCGACAACGACAACGACAGCTCGCCACCTCCACCCATAGACGTCACCATAGCCGAGGCACCTCAGCACATCACTATCCGTATCTCCGACCGAGGCGGCGGTATTCCCCGGCACGAGCTCCCCTACCTGTGGGCCTTTAGCAAAGGTCCACAGAGCCAGCAGCGCATCGAGAACCTGGGACGGGTGCCCAAGATGGCCGCCACCATGCAGGAGCTCCATGTGGAGGAGGAGCTGGGCCGCGCCGACCTCAAGACCCCCCCTTACCAGGATTCCCTCGCCTCGCTCACCAGCCGCCCCCCCAATCTCAGGTTGGGAATGGGCCTGCCGCTCAGCCGCGTCTACGCCGAATACTGGGCTGGTAATCTCGAGCTGCACAGCCTCGAGGGTTACGGCGTCGATGTCTTTCTACAAATCTCGAGACTGGGCAATAAGAATGAGCAGGTCATAACTAGGGCCAGCATGGATGCTGTTTAATCCCAATTCCTCTTTCTGTTTCTCTGTTTCTCTTTCTCATGAAAAAAAAAAAAAGAAGCATCGCTTCATTATTATACATCTTTAGGAGCATTGGAGTTGGGTTTATCAAGGTTGAGGGAGGGGGGGGGGAATAAGTACTACTGCCACCTACTACTGCTATGCTACTAGTATACGTGGAATTGTCCATATACGAATCGCATCACTGGGCCTTGATCATTTCTGGTGAAATTAATAACATTGACTAAAAGAAGACCTAGCTGAGAGCATTGGCGAGAAGGGGGTAGTAAAGAATAAAGAGGTGAATAAATGAAGAAGAGGAAGGGGAGGGGGGTAATAAGGTATATGACCAAAAAAACAAAACGACTGAGAGACTAGAAAACGCACACGAAAAAAAAGGAAAGAAAAAACAAAGACTATCAAGACCTTCCACAGATCCTGAGCCACCCGGATTTTCTCTTCTCATGAACAGAAAAAAAACCTGGCCCCGATTCCTCCCCCTCCCATCAATTTCGCCTTTTCGCTTTTTGAAGAAAAAAATTATAGCAATCGAGTTGCACGCGCGCAAGCTCGAGGCTATGGGGGAACGAGGAATTAGTTGCACGTGTCTTGTCCTTTCTTTTCTCTTAGATCGCATCCAGCAAGCCGTGTCGGGTGTAAGTACCACCTTTTCCTCCTCTTTTCTTCCGCTCTGTTCTTCATCTTTTCAGGCCAAAACTCCAAACCATTCTTTTCAAACCAAAAAAACCGGAGTAGCAGCATTATAGGAAGAGGACCCGCAAAACGAAAAGAAATAGAAAGGATGGCGTATACAATGCACAGCAACGCGCACATGAGGACGAAGTCCTAAAGACAGAAAAGGGGGGGCTATTCTTTCCGTTTCCCTGTCGGCCTTGTCCAGGTTTTTCTCTCTTCGTTTTTTTTTTCGTTTAGCGACGGCCGTGGCTGCGGACGGCGCTGCCCTGCATGGCTTCGAGCTCCGACTCGAGCTGCTTGATCTGGGCATGGGTCTGCTCGAGGTCCTTGTTGAGACGGTCGCGCTCGGCAATGAGCTTCTGCTCCCACTGGCGGAAGCGCTGCTCCTCGACCTTGACCTGCTCGGTGAAGCGCTTGCGGAGGGCCTCCTCCTCCTCCTTGAACTTGGGGTTGTCGAGCTTCCTGGGACGCGCTTCGCCAAACTTGCGCGTCTCCATCTGCTGGGCACGGTAGGCCTCGTAGTGGAGCTCCTCTGTGGTGTGGATGAGATCCAGCATGTGGGTGCGGATCAGGATGGAGCGCAGCTTCTTGAAGTCGCAGTGGTCCTCGTTCTCCACCTCGGCGACTCCCCACGAGTACTGGCGGCCCTTGACGATGCGGCCGTCGCCCGTCTTGACGTCCTTCTCGGAGCCGATGACGGCAAAGGGCATGGCGTTCATGAGGCTGCGGGCGTGCTGGGCAGCAGCCTCGTCATCCTCCTCGATCGGGGGCTGGTAGATCTTGATGTTCTGGGCCTCAATGACGGAAACAATCTGGTATCAAACGTCAGTACGGCAAGCGACAACGTCGTGCAAAAAAGCCCGGTCAAGAAAAGACATACCCTCTGCTTGAACTTGGCGAGGTCGGCCGGGCTGAGGGTGTCGGCCTTGGCAATGACGGGGATGAGGTTGACGCGCGAGCAGAGCCTCTTCATGACCTCAATGTCGAGGGGCTTGAGGGTGTGGCCAGTGGGGCGGATGAAGTAGAGGCAGGCGTGGACACGGAGGTCAATTTTGTCCTGGCGGCGCGGCTGCTGCTCCTGAAGCATGTAGGACTCGTGCTGGTCGTCGAGGAACTCGATGATGGGCATCCACGAGTCGCGGTTGTTGACGTAGTCACCGAATCCGGGGGTGTCGATGACGGTCAGGCGAACTGCACACAATGACATGAAGACGTTAGAATATCTGAAGCCGGCCCTCTGATTGATGCCCCTGCCTCCCCAGAGATGCGAGCGCGTTGTGTCACGCTCCCATCCAGGAGGAGGCTCAGAAACGATGGGTGGGGAGCAGCGGGGGGAAGCCTACCCTTGAAGAACTTCTCTTCGAGCTCAGCCTTGGTTATCTCAATCTCGACCGTCTTGTCGACCTGCTTCTGGTGGCGCCTCTTGTGGTCGGCATAGTTCTTGATGGTGGTGGAGAAGAGGGTGTTGATGAAGGTGGTCTTTCCGAGGCCAGACTCACCAGCAACCTATTATAGCAGCAACGGGAACGATCAGTTCAGCTCCCATGATCCGCGACTCTGCAATGTATATACTCGGGTAGATAAACATACCATGATGGTGAAGCCGGCACCACGCTTGGCGACAATCTTGTGGCGCTGGTTGGGCAGATTGGCAATGCCAATCGGCGAGGCGCTCTCAGAAGCAGACATTGTTGGAAAGACGCGGTGAGAGGAGCGAGGGGAGCGGATATGATATTCGTAGCAGAGGTGAAGGATGGATTCACTCGAACAGCGAGTCGAACAGCGAGGACGGAACTGCGGGAGAGACCGTGTGGGACGACGGGGGGGGGGGGATGAATTAGAGAACCGAATCGACGACGTTGACGATGTTTTGGGGGGAGGAGGGGAGCTTTCTCGTCTCTAGGGATTCCCAAAGGCCAGTCAGGGGAATCTACTGAAAGGGTGAGGCACCACCAAATTTCCCCTGGCGTTCTAGGCACTACGAGAACGGAGACGGGTGGCCACTAATACAGTGACGCTTCTACACTGGCAGCGCCACCAGTCCCCTAACAATTCTGTCCAATGTACAGATTGATCTGTACAGGTTACGGAGTACGCTTCAGTACCCAAGTACCGTAGTGAGTATTACAGGGGACCAAGACACTAGACATGGGGAACTAGTAGGCTTCTAAGCTCTGGGCTCTAAGCACTGTAGTGGATGGACACATAGTAAAGTCGTCAGGTGTCTCTTGTAGCCCCCTCTCCCCCCCCCCCCCCCCCCCCGCCCCACCCCCCCCCGCCGGGGTTGGAAGCTCCTCATTGGACAGTTGAAGGGATGGACGCCCGCAACGGGGTGGGAAAGCACGGCCCTTCTCCTTTCCCTGCTCGCTCTTTCCTGCTCTACAAGTAAGGATACTCGTGCTTCGTATGACTTAGCCGTTTCTGGACAGATCACGGAATAACCGTTTAACCGGATCACCTGTATGTACCCGTACTTGCTTTCTGGTGGCGTTCCAATTGATAAGAACGGATTCTCCACTCAAAAAAATCATCTGCAGTCTGATAAGCAAAGTTGGGGAATTCTTTTTTTTTTTTTTTGGTGGATTAAAAGTCGAGGACGGCTTCATATCATAGTTGTCAGCTAGGACATGGATAACAGGTGACGATGAAGACTGGTTTCAAGGCGAGTTGCGCACTATCATCCTCCTCGTGTGAGATATCACGTTACTGACTGTCGTGTTTCTTCCTCAGTTCTCCAACTTACTAGGGACCGTCTACTGCCAGGGCAACCTGCTATTCAGTCCCGATGGCACCCACCTGTTCTCGCCCGTCGGCAACCGAGTTACCGTCTTCAACCTGGTAGAGTAAGTCTTCGCCCTCGTCCTTCTCTCTTGCGTCTAATATAACCCCTGCTAACTTTGTGCTTGTGCGTGTGCGTATCAGGAACAAATCTCACACTCTTCCGTTTGCCCATCGCAAAAACATCAGCCGCATAGGACTTTCTCCCCGCGGCAATGTCCTCCTCAGCGTCGACGAGGATGGCCACGCCATCCTGACGAACGTGCCCCGCCAGATCCCGATCTACCACTTCTCTTTCCGATCCCGCGTCACAGCGCTTGCCTTCTCACCTTCGGGGCGGCACTTTGCCGTGGGGCTGGGCCGGCGGACTGAGGTGTGGCATGTGCCTTCGACGCCGGACGCCAATGCCAGCGGCGAGCTAGAATTTGCGCCGTTTGTCAAGCACCACTCGCATCAGGGCCACTTTGACGACGTGCGGTACATTGAGTGGTCGACCGACTCGCGCTTCTTCATGACGTGCTCCAAAGACCTGACGGTGCGCATATGGAGTCTGAACGCCGAGGAGGGGTTCGAGCCGACGGTGCTGTCGGGGCACAAGCAGGCCGTCGTGGGCGCTTGGTTCTCGGCCGACCAGGAGACCATCTACACGACGAGCAAGGACGGCGCGGTGTTTACGTGGAAGTACGTGCGACCCAAGAACCGCATCGACGACGTAGACGAGAACAAGACGGGCGACGAAGACGAGTCCGACATGCGCTGGCGTATCGTGGAGCGACACTACTTCATGCAGGGGAGCGCGCATCTGCGGTGCGCGGCCTTCCACCCCGAGTCGAACCTGCTCGTGGCGGGTTTCTCTAACGGCGTGTTCGACCTGTACGAGATGCCCGACTTCAACAACATCCACAAACTGAGCATATCGCAAAACGACATTGACTTTGTCACCATCAATAAGAGCGGCGAGTGGCTGGCGTTTGGCGCGTCCAAGCTTGGCCAGCTACTCGTGTGGGAGTGGCAGTCAGAGTCGTACATCCTCAAGCAGCAGGGCCACTTTGACTCGATCAACGCGTTGACGTACTCGCCTGACGGCAAGCGCGTCGTCACCACAGCCGACGACGGTAAGATCAAGGTGTGGGACGTGGAGTCAGGATTCTGCATCGTGACCTTTACTGAGCACACGAGCGGCGTCACGGCCTGTCACTTTGCCAAGAAGGGCAACGTGCTCTTCACGGCCAGCCTGGACGGGTCCATCAGGGCGTGGGACCTGATACGGTACCGCAACTTCCGCACCTTCACGGCACCCACGCGCCTCTCCTTCTCCAGCCTGTCGGTCGACCCGAGCGGCGAAGTCGTGGCGGCTGGCTCCCTCGACTCATTCGACATCCACATCTGGTCGGTGCAGACGGGCCAGCTACTGGACCAGCTGGCGGGCCACGAGGGCCCTGTCTCGGCGCTGGCGTTCGCGCCCACGGGCGATGCCTTGGTCAGCGGCAGCTGGGACCGCACGGCGCGCATCTGGTCCATCTTCAGCCGGACGCAGACGAGCGAGCCGCTGCAGCTGCAGGCCGATGTGCTCGACGTGGCGGTGCGCCCCGACTCGATGCAGCTGGCCGTGTCGACGCTGGACGGCCAGCTGACGTTCTGGTCCATGACGGAGGGTGAGCAGGTCGCCGGGCTGGACGGGCGCCGCGACGCCTCGGGAGGTCGCAAGTTCTCTGACCGGCGCACCGCGGCCAACATGTCGGGCACCAAGAGCTTCAACACTATCCGCTACAGCGCCGACGGCAGCTGCATTCTGGCCGGCGGCAACAGCAAGTACATATGCCTGTACTCGGTGACGACCATGGTCCTGCTGAAGAAGTTCACCGTGTCGGTCAACCTTTCGCTGTCGGGAACGCAAGAGTTCCTCAACAGCAAGCAGCTCACCGAGGCGGGCCCGACGGGTGAGCTGGACGACCGGGGCGAGGCGTCGGACCGCGAGGATAGGTGGGATGCCAGCCTGCCCGGGTCCAAGCGCGGCGGCGACCCGTCGGCGCGCAAGAAGCTCCCCGAGGTGCGTGTCACGGGCATTGACTTCTCGCCCGCCGGTACGGCCTTTTGCGCCGCCTCGACCGAGGGCCTCCTCATCTACAGCCTCGATCACCAGAGCGTGCAGTTCGACCCGCTAGACCTGGACATGGACATCACGCCCGCCACCACGCTGCGCGTCCTGGACAAGGAGCGCGACTACCTCAAGGCCCTGGTCATGGCCTTCCGCCTCAACGAGGCCGGGCTGATCAAGCGCGTCTTCCAGGCCGTGCCCCCCGGCGACATCGGACTCGTCGTCGCCGGCGTGCCGTCAGTCTACGTGGCGCGTCTGCTGCGCTTCGTCGCCGCCCAGACCGAGGACTCGCCCCACATCGAGTTCTGCCTCCTCTGGACAAAGGCCCTCGTCGACAAGCACGGCGCCTACCTGTCTGCCAACCGAGCCCGGACGGACGTCGAGCTGCGCGTCGTGGCACGCGCCGTCGCGCGCATGAGGGATGAGATCCGCAGGCTGGCCGACGAGAACGTCTACATGGTCGATTACCTGCTCGGCCAGGCGACCAAGGACAGCAATCTCAAGGCCAAGACGGTTACGACGGGGGCAACGCACGACGGCAACGATGTGGTGCCGGATGTGGCAGACATCGAAATGGGTGAGGAAGAATCTGATGATGAGTGGATCGGACTAGAGTAAGGGCTGAAGGTTGATGCGCGTCTGGATTTTCAATTTTCTTTTTTTATAATTTAAGAAAAAAAAAAAAAGAAAGCAAGACAAAAAGCGAGTTGTAGATATGTGCAAGAATAAATGATTATAAACAACCCCCCCCCCCCCCCCCCCCGAGATATTCATACCCTTACAATGCAGTATTACTATACCATCATTCGACTTTTAACAATCAGGAGCGGTTAGTTCAAAGCTTCGGGACCCCCCTCCACGACTGCTTAAACCCAGGCGACATCACCCAGTGACCCGACTCCCTCTCGACCCCACGAAGAAGCATATAATGGATCCTGAGCCACTGATCGTCCCGTCTGATACGCACCCACTCCCTGTCGGAGAACTCTGCAGTCCTCTCCTGGATGAGTATGAGCGCCCTGGAGAGCTTGATGATGTGTCCATCGTCAGGGATGGCATGCACACGTGGGAGCAGATCACGAGGGCTCTGCGCATGGCCATCACCGCCAGCAGCCAGCAGAGCAGCACGGTCTCGCTCGTCCTGGGGCGTGTATGTGTCGAGTATTGCTTCGTGGTCGAGGGAAGGCAACCCACCCGCCACGTACTGCAGCAGGTCGAGGCGCATCTTCCACTCCAGGAGGCGCGTCTTGGTGGACGTAGGGATCCAGGAATGGGCGTTTACCGCGCTGAAGAAGGGTACAGAATTGACATGGTGGCTTGTAGGTGTGTGGTTTTTTTTTTTTTTTTTCAAATGTCAGAATAAGAACACGGGTGCACATGTAGCCCCCAAAGAGAAGAGGGGGTTCAAGAAAAAAGAAAGGAAAGGAAGTGACTTACATGAAGAAGAAATCAAACTTGGGAATGTAGGGTGGATTCCAGGCACCCAAAGCGGCAACGTACGCATTGACATGACCCATCTCGGCCGTCTTCTCGGCCAGGTTATCAGGCGAGACCTTGACCTTGGCAGCGAGGCGCACCATCTCATGGTGTACCTTGCCCAGGACGCGGCCGCAGACGTGCGGGCCCAAGGTGTCATCCCACGATGAGCTCTTCCTTAGCTTGTCGTCCTTGGCAGCCTGCTCGAACAGACGGGCGAAGTCGGTACCATAATCACTGCTATTTCCACCCTCAGCAGCAGCAGCAGCAGCGGCAGAGGCGGCAGCCTTCTCAGAGTCGAGGAAGAAGCTGCGTATGGCCGCGTCGTCGTCGTGGACGGCCGTCTGGGCGAGGGCCTCCGCTACGAGGGCCGGCTGCTCCCACTCCACGCCGAACATGAGGTGGATGAGGGGATGGAGGAAGCTCGCGTACAGACGGGTGAGGAGCTGCAGCGCCGGACCGTCCTCCCCTTCCTCCTCGCGAAGCAGGTATTCCACCAGGACGGCCTGCCAACCCTTCTGCTCGATCTCGCCCTGGAAGAAGCGTAGGAAGTCGACGTAGTGCTTCGCCTTGCCGACGTAATCGGGCAGGGCGGCGGCGTAGTCGTCCCGCAGACGGGCCACGACCTCTGGTCTCGCCTTGGCCAGCCGTGCTTGGTAGGTCTGGTTGCTGTCAAAGCCGGATTGGAGCTGGGATGACGATGCACCCGTTCCGTAGAGGGTGAGGAGTTGGTGGGGGATCTGCACGGTGCGTCAGTCAGCTGTGACGTACGGTATCGGGGACCGGGGAAGACGATACGTGGTTGTGGAAGCCGCGTGCGTTGAAGAAGGCGTTGTTGTTCTGTCCGAAGTCTGGGTCAGCGGTGTGTCTTTGGGAGGGAGAGAGGAAGAGGGGGGGGGGGGGGGGGGGGGGGTAGTGAACACCAGTACCTCGAGATCTCTCTGAAGTAGCTCAGACACCTTGGACGCCGTGCTGGCATCGGCTGGATATCGAAGGATGCCATCCCCTCGAGTTGGGACGTCGAATCTATACGCTGTGGCCATGGTGGAATATGACGCGATCAGTCGTCTCGGTATTGTCGGGAAGACGCGTGATGTTAGTCTCATCATGTTAGGCATCTCCAGACAGTGCTATACGTAGAAGAGGAAGCTGATATTTATACTCCGTCGGGTCTCTCTGCCGCGTGGATGCATGACAAATCTATCGTGTCTGTGGGAGTGTGGAAAACTGTGTGTGTCCTGGTAGTTACTACAGTAGTATTACTACTGTGCGTGAAACACGAGCTCGGGGAGGGTCATGTACCGAGCTGCGAAGTGGTAAGGACTTTTTTTTTTTTTTTGGAGGACGATGACATCAATTAAAGACGATGACATCAAAAGAGGAGATAGACACAGAGTACGGTCGGACAGAGATATGATGAGATGGAACGTCATCAATTCGCTCCTATACCCGTACAGAACGTCCTATATCCGTAAAGAACGTGATGGGCTATGGAATCATCTTCGGACGGGAGCCAGTCAGAATGCTTCTATTATTATTGGATTGTGGCGAGGGGCTTTTTGCTTCAGCCTCTATTCTTTCATACCCCGGATTTCCATTCTCATCTTGGTGCTAACACTTTCTTCGCTGCTTATTAATACCGTTACGCTAACATCATGAAGCGGGAATCGGATTTCGGAGATCCGAGCTGGTCAATCAGTATGGAGCTGTTTCTTTTATTTTTCTTGGCTCCTTTTTCTTCTTCTTCCATATCCTATGAGGCCGAGGGGTGATACTTGGTTCTTCGACTCATCATCCACACCATTACAAAAAAAAAAAAAAAGGGAAAGAAAAAAAAGACGGATGTCAACCAAAAAAAAAAAAGAAGAAAATCAAAGCGACAATCCATTTCTTTCTATTCTTCTAATAATTCCACCCGCTATCATCTCCCATAAAACATAAGTGGGGGTGGGGGGTAATGTGTAGGTACAAAAAAAAATCATAAAATGAAAAATTGAGACATCTCGCTCAAGTTTTGTATATCTCCTCAATTTCTCTTTCCTTCTTATATATTCTCTATATTGCGTTGTGGCGCTCAAGCCTTGCGCTTCTTGGGAGGCTGGTCCTCACTGTCACCCATCTCCTCGTCCGAGTCCTCTTCGTCGTCCTCGAAGTCGAGGTCGCTGAGACCATCCTGCTCTTGAGCAGCCACTGGTTCGTGTTAGTTTTCTTCTTCTTCTTTTCTTTTTCCGTGCCGTTGTATACATGTCTTACATGCGTCCATGCGCGCGGGTGTAGAGGACCGGAGAAGGCGGGGTCAGGGGACAAAACATACGGAAGTACTTGATGGCACTGGGGTAGAGGTCCTCGGCGATGCAGACGGCGAGGTCGTCTGCAGTGGGGAAGATCTCCCACTCGTACTCGTCGTCATCGTCATCGTCCTCCATGTCTTCCTCGTCAATCTTCTTGCCCTCCTTGCGGGCCTTGCGTCTCTCCTCCTCCTTCTTGAGGGCCTCCTTGTGCTCGTCGTCCGAGATGTTGCGGCCGCGGAAGCCGAACCAGGCGAAGAAGCTGAGGCCGTCGAGGCCGGTGTTGTCCATCTGCTTCTTGAGCTCCTTCTTGAGCTCGGTCTCTTCGTTGGGCTTGGCCGAGGCCTGGTCCTCCTGGTAGACCTTGCAGACGAGGTCGAGCATGCCGTTGGTCAGGTCCTTGCCTTCCTTCCACTTGATGGGGACGGGCTCCGAGATGAGGCCGGCCCAGCCGTCCTTGGCGTAGCGCCACCGGAACTTCTTCTCGAGGGTGCGGTCCTCAAAGTACTCGTTCTCGGAAAACTCGAACCTGATCGAGATGCTGCGCGGGTCGCCAGAGGGAAGCTCGAAGCGGTCCACCTTGAGGCCGGTGAGGGACGTCATGAAGACGTTGGCGTCCTGGGGCTGGATATACTCGTCGATATCGGGAGGGCACTGCTCAACCACCAGGGGCCAGAAGCCGGGGATCTGAGAGACGACCTTTTCACGCTTGACGTAAAGGTCCTTGCTGAGGTTGTACTGCTGGCGGACTACCTTGCACACGTCACTGTCAGTCTCGTCGTCATTCTTCTCCTTCCCCAGTCTCGGATACGGTCTTGCGACCGTCCGGCTGCGTTCCATGGGCATGCACTCACGCATCTCGAGCTCAACGTCCTCAAAGTCATCCTCGAGCTCCTCGAGCTGCTCGTAGGCAACGGGGATCTCCTTCTCGTTCTCGGCAGACATATTGGGAGCGTTATTGAGGAATAGAAGGAAACTTTTGTGTGTGTGTATGTGTGTGTGTGAGTGTGAAAGAGAAGGAAAAAGAAAAAGAAGAAAAAAGGAGGGGTGGTGGAATGCGAGAGAGCAAGGGCACTTTTTCATATATTTACTATTAGTTGGGAAAGAGCTGACCGGGTAGCACTTGCCCCGCAGTCTTTGTTGTCACTGCTACTATTTACCACTCTTACGCAGCAGCATTGCTAGTGGATGGTAGATCACTGGATAGAGGAGATAATCTATGCAACAAGAAAAAACCAGACAAAGGTCCAGAGCCAGAGAAATCTACTAGTGGCATGAAGAAAAATTTTTCCTTCCTTTTTCTTTTCCCGCCTAATAACAAGGAACAAAGAGAGCGTCAGTCAATCGGGCAAGAATAAGAGTGGTGGTGAGTGGAGGGAGTGGAGGGGCAGCGGCCTTGTTTGGCATCCTCTATGTTTGCTCTTACCCGTTTACAGAAAGAATGACGGCGGTGAAATTCTGAACCCCTGCAGGGCCTCCTACTCGTACAGTATTATTCATTACATTATTGCGTGTATGGCCCCAAAAGAGGGCCCCAAAAGAGCCCCCAAAAGAGGTCCCGAGAAGTCCCCAAGAAGTCCCAAGGGGCCACTAAGAGTATGTGAACGCTCAGAGTGCATGCGTGATGGATCCATTCGTGGGACCCAAACGAATCGTCGGGCCACTGAAATGGGTATATTTCTACAGGGGCATCTCCGGGGGGCCCCTGGGTCTGGAGTGGCTCCGTTGCAGTGCTGTTGAGTGGTCGAGTGGCTAACTCACTCAACTGTACAGGTGGTACTCTGCTCATACAAGTTCTCGGCTCATACAGGTTCTCTGCCCATACAAGTAACATCAAGTCACCTATCATTCTCGCAAGTACGAGCAGTGCTCGGGTGCTTGAGCGATCGAGTGATCCAGTGACTGAGTGTTCGAGCAGTATGTAGGTCACTGTAGGTGAGTGGCTGGTGGGCCGTGGCTGGACGGTGATCCGCTAGAGCCTACGTCGTACAGGGCACCGTGGAGGCGTTGCCAGGGTCCAGTCCTCTGCAGATCTTATACTCCTGCAGGCCCAAAATGGATTCGCGCAACGGGTTACTTGTACTTGCAGATTTTTTTTCTTTCCGCCTATTGTCACTGTTGAAAGTCTGTGTGGTAGTTCGTAGAGCACCGCCCGCTGGAAAGGGTGTTGGGAATGATGGTAGTAATACGACCCAGAGTTTGCACAAACGCCGTTGTACTCCCGGTGTTGGGATTATTAGTCATCACGCTCACGCTGCCCCGCGCGCCCCGCAAACCACTGGTATAACTGGTGATAATACTGCTATTACGGTTATTTACCACCTGCACACACGCACATGCGGTGCGAGTACACGACGAACCCCCTCCATCCATCATCATCACAGCTTCGGAGCTTAGACCGTATAGTAGACATCCACATGGCCCCGGCACCGTGACATGAGTATATGGCGCATTCAATAAACCACACGTACCGATCGCAGACAGCGTTAGCATCCCACCACCCGCCATGCTCGCCACCCGTCCCCTCGAAGTAGCCGTCTTCTCCTCCGCCGATGCCATCCGTGCCCTCAGCCAAGGCTGCCAGCGCATCGAGCTCAATGCCACAGGATCGTACCCGTACGGTGGTCTGACGCCCCCCGTAGCAGAGGTCGCGGCCGCATCTGCTTCCGTCGCCGATGACGGCGCCGCACTGCGCGTCATGATCCGACCAGCCGTCACATCGCCCCAGGACTTCATCTACACCCCCCAGCAGTTCAACACCATGAAGGAAGACGTACTGGCGTTCAAGGAGTCAGGGTGCATGAACGCCTCGCGGGGCGACGGCTTTGTCTTCGGGATCCTGCAGGTTCTCCCTCTCGACGGGGAGGTTGCCGTCGACGTAGCGCGCTGCTCTGAGCTGGTGCGGCTAGCTGCGCCCTTTGTCTGCGTCTTTCATCGGGCCTTTGATGCCGTCTTGGCCACTGCCACTGCCACCGCCACTGCCACCGCCACTGACGCTGCGTCTTCCTCCCCTCTGTCTTCCTCATCTTTGGAGGGCGATGCACTGCCTGCCTTGCGTGACCTCTCATCGTGCGGCTTCAGAGGACTGCTCACGTCGGGAGGACCGGGGTGTCATGCCGACCATCTCGATGCACTGCATCTGCTGGCTCGTCAGATGAGACACTCGGATATCGAGCTCATTGTCGGTGGTGGTGTGCGTCCTGGCAATGCTACCCGGGTAGCTGACAAGATGGCCGACTTTGACGGTACATGGCTGCATTCGGCATGTCTCTCTCCCGCGGGTGCACCATCCACATCCCAAGGTTCGGGTACAGACGGTATCCTCGATTGCTCCGTGTTGCACGACTTGCTCTCTCGTCTGAGGCCTGGATGTGGATAGGCCATGCATATAAGCTGGCATCGTGAGCGTAGCTATCGTTCAATGCTTTGTGCACACCATGTCTCTCATCGTAATCTTCTTCTTTTTCTCTCTATTGATTTTTTTTCCTCAACATCCACCATACTGTACTACAGTAGTAACATCTATACGTGTGTAAACCAGAGCCTCTAAATCACTCCGCCCCCTCCAACTCCATCGCTCCAGTTTCGGCGCCATCATGAAAAGAGGAAGAAGAGATGAGATATATCAAGAAGTGAAGGGAAATTAACAAAAGAAGAAAAAAAGGAGAAGAATCAATCAGTCGAACGGTCCCAGTCCGCACGGTCCCAGTCCGCACCCCTGGCAAGACCGAGACAGTCGGAAATCTTGTAGAAGATGTCAATGTTGTCAAAAGTCCCGCCAAAGAGCTCCTGGCATGGACCCCAGGAGAAGACGGGCACGTCCGTGAGCGAGTGGACGCCCTGCCCCTCGGTGGTGGGCAGCGTGCCGTTGACGAGGTACCCGTCCTTCCCGTCGTCCGGGTTGGCGTAGTAGTCGCCCGAGTCCTCTACGATCTCGACGGCTGGCTCGCGGGGCTCTGACCTGTGCACCTTGTAGTTCTCGCGGTGATCGGGCATGGCGCCGAAGCCGGCGGCGATGGCGTACCGGGGCTCCCAGTTTGTGGGGAAGTTGGGGCCGGTTCCGTAGCTGATGCCGCTGGGGGGCTTGCCCGTGGTGTACTGAGAGTTGCCCGAGTTCCTGTACACCCCGATGGCGCGGCGCTTGTGGCGCTCATCCTCCTGGGCGGCGAGGTACTTTGTGTCGGCTGATCCGTAGACGCTGTGTTTCGACGTGTCGTCAGTATGTGAACAAGGGTGAGGAAACACGCACACATGCCCTGCCGAGAAAGGGGGGGGGGGGGGGGGGGGGGGGAGAGAGAACAGAGACTTACTCGAAGCCGTGACCGTGATCGGCCGAGACGATGATGAGCGTCTCGTCGAGAACATCTAGGTCCTCGAGCTTCTTCATGGTGGCGCGGACGGTATCGTCAAGCTCGAGCAGGTCGCCCAGGGCGCGGTCGTAGTCGAGGGCGTGCATCTGCTTGTCGACGGATGCGGCCTCGACCATGAGGAAGAAGCCGTCGTCGCCGCCCCGGCGGTCGAGTATCTCGACGGCCTTGGTGGCCATGTCCTTGAGACCGGGGAGGTCGGTGGCGTCGCCGTCCCCGCCGGCCGGGTCGTTGGCCAGACCCTGCAGGTTCTCCTTGTAGACGTTTCGGTCGAGCCAGACAGGGAGGTTCCCGCGGCAGAAGATGCCGAGCTGCCTGTCGCCCGGGTCGGCCTCCAGCAGGCTCGTGCGGTTCAGGCTGACGCCGTAGCCCCTGTCGGCGAACTCCTTGTAGTAGTCCTTGCCCTCGTACGAGTCTTCACCGGCGAGGAAATTCTCGGCGCCCCCGCCAAAGTACACGTCCGGGCCGTCCTGCTTGGTCCACTCGTAGTCGGTCACGCCGTTGAGCGCCTGGTCAATCAGCGGGCCGTACTCGCCGCGGAGCCGGGTGTGGCCCGTCAGCGCGATGGGCGTGGCGTCGGCCATGAAGGCCGTCGACACGGCGCCCCAGGCACCCCTGCGCACCCGCTTGAAGATCTCGACGATCGTCTCGACCTTGGGGTCATCGAAGGGGTCGGCGGACGAGTCGGCGTAGACGCTGTCGGACGGGGTCAGCATGATCAGAGACGGTGTCTCGTCAGAGAAGGGTGGATTGGAACTTGACCCGGTGGCCTTACTTACCCCATCGCATTGACGGTGCTCTTGTGTCCAGTGTATAGAGCAGACGCCGAGTTGGCAGAGTCGGTAATGTACGAGTCGATCGAGTGCGTCATCTGGTGACCCAACACGGGGAAATCGTCCAGCTTGAGGTTGGTCTGATATTTTCCGTTGATGCTCTTGTGTCCCAGCAGACGGGCGGCGGTGATCTATATCACTGTCAGCCTATATATTGACCTCTCTCTACCCATTGATGAAAGGCTCCTTTCTTTCCCGTCCTTCTTTCTTTCTTTCTATAAAGAAAACATACCATATTAGTAGTCATGCCATCACCGATGAAAAAGATAACATTCTTAGCCTTGCGCCTCTTGGAGATATCCCGAACCGTCCACTTGGCCGTCGTCGTCTCGCCGTCGTAGTAGTGCAGCGTGACGGTATAAGTTCCGGGCTCGCGCAGGCTGAGCTTGCGGTAAGCCTTGGCGGCGACGTTGACGACGCTGGGCTTCTCCTCGTCCTCGGCAAAGAGGTCCTCGTACCACGAGAAGTCCCACCTCTCGACCTCGGGCTCCTCGATGTCGAAGAAGTGGGCAAAGTCACGCGGCCTGCCCTTGCCCTTCGCAATCGTCACCTTGAACCTTTCGTCCGGCTTGCCGTCGTGGGCCGCCTCGGTGCCGTTGACGGGTGCATGCACCTCGACGCGCAGGTCGAACAGCTGGCCGGGCAGGAAGTCGGACTGATCCGGAGGCAGGAGGCAGCCCAGAGTAGGGCATGTGCCCAGCCGCTGGTAGGTCTGGGCGGACGCGACCCCCGAGAGGGCCGCGAGGGCCGCGAGGGTGGTGACGACGTTGAACCTCATGGCTTGGAGAGCTATCTCTGGGACAGGAAAAAACTCCGGTGAAGAGACACTTCAACGTCTGGCCTGCACAGAGGAGAGAAGGAGAAGATTGAAGGGGGGTGGAGGGAAGGGGGGAGGGAAGAGGAGAGAGACGTCGACGGATCTTCTGTCCGGCAGGTCAAGTGCGGATGCGACCGTTCTTGTACTCGTACCGTGGAGTCAGTCGTCAAGCTCCGGGAGAGCAGAGGATCCATCCCTCGGAGAGTCCGTTCGTCGCCATATTGATTGGATGGACTCTCGTACCGGTGACTTCTTTCTCTCTCGTGGCTGCGTGGGGTGGGTTCATCAAGAAGGAAGGCGGGAACCCAGCCATGTGGCCCCGGATTGCATTGTCCTATAGGCTATCGCGAAGGAGGGAAGTTGGGACTAGGATATATTCGTTCATCGCAAGCATAGTTGGCTCTGGTTCCGGAACATGGCGTACGGAAAATCTGACTATATTAACATTCCTGTCTCGTAATATACATGTACTCTGTCTTTCCCCCTCCCTGTGCCTCCCTCCTCTTGCTCTCTGTCTCTCCCTCCTCTCTCTACATTGTTCGATGTGAATTGGTCTGTCCGTCTTGTGTGTTCCCAGTTTCTCCCCGTCTCTCCTTTCCTCCCCCCCGCCCGAGTCGTCTCTCCTATTCAACGATAGCGCCAGCGTGAGCCGATACACCGGTATCTCTCGTCATCCGCAATTGTCTGTCCACGCGACGACTTGACTCTCATCCTCGGCCCCTCTCTGCCTACCCGCATAAGCAGCTTGGACAGACAAGCCTAGCTGCCTAGTCTGGCTTAGATTCGGTTAGGAGAGATAAGCTTGTTTGCAGTTCCCCCGTGCATGAATTGGCTTCTTCTATTGGTCAGTACAGGGATATATCTTCGCTCAGCTTTGGCCAAGATCTGCTGGTTCGACTCCTACGGCCTCCACTCTCCACTTTGGCAACTTCCGACCTATTACTTCGCACATGTATTAATGCTCGTAGAAGACACTTATTACTATCAAAGTCATCAACAAGCTGCAAATTAACTCTTGTCGGATGTTCGAGCGGGGAGGGGGGGGGGGGGGGGGGGGGGGGGGGGGGGGGAATGAGGCTTGCAGGTAGGCTGCATGAACAGTGATATCGTATTACCTTCCGCAACCCTTGGTCTTCTGGGATGACACACGTGCATCTCCATGTCCAATAAGCATCGTCGGGAACTCTCGCTCGGATCAGCCCATTATTGGTGTTTTCTTCTTTGCCCTTGCTGCGTCATCAAATTTTCCTATCAAGCCCTCCCGCACCTTTCGAAGCCAAGCAAGCCTCTGTGGCGCTCTGTCTCGTTTAGTTTGCCGGGATTTGGCTGGCTCTGACCGACTCGAACCGACTCGGTCTTCTTGGCTTGTGCGTCGAGTAATTGAGAGCTCTCGCGTCTGACGGCCATGTTCGGCTTCCATCGAGTCTACGTGCTCGAGGCTATGCAGATCTGGTCAGGGTATACTAACCCGAGAGCCATTCTGGTGGCTGCCATGATGCCCGAGGAAAGTCCAGGAATCTCAAGATCGATCAACATCGTACGACGTATGGCCGAGCATGATCGTTGACCGCTGTCGTTCATCGGGAAGATGCACTGTTTCTGGAAACGGCGGCTAGGTTGGTCGATGTAGAGTAGGGCCGGCTATCGACTGCTGGCTTCCTTTTGCGCAAAGCCCTTCTCGGCTAGCGTCTGTCCACTGCCCTCCGGCACGGGCGGAGGTGTCTCGCTGACCTGCTGCCCCGGCTCGACGCCGCCCAGCCCTTGCCACGATGGCTTGTTGTACCTTTCCTGTCCAGCCTGGCTCTTGAAGTGGTATCCCCGCGCACGTGGTCGCTGCCCGGTCCCCTCGGGGAGCTCTGGCTCGTACGAAGCTTCAAATCGGCGGCTCGCGGCCTCCAGCTCCGACGTCCCGGTTCCCGCCCCACCACCACTCCGTAGCGTCTCGCGGATGGCTTTCAGGAACTCGTCGACGACGTGGTGGTTGTGGATCTGCAGCAGGTTCCAGCCCAGCATCTCCCTAGCATTGAGCAGGTGATGCACGTAGGCTCTGTGATGGCGCTGGCACGTGTGGCACCGGCACCCCTCCGCCAGTGGTGCGAGCGACGTTCTGTGCTCGTCAGACCACATGTCCACGCCGAGAGGCAGGACCTGCCTGCACGCGGTGGCATCGCTTTTCGGTGGTCGGAGCGTGAATGTCAACGCGATGCCGGCGTCGGATGTGCCGTTTACGAACGGGACCATGACCATGTCCACGCCCAGCAGTATCTGCCGGAGAATAGCTCGGGGTGACTGGGGGATATCGAGCGAGAGCCTGGGAAGTTGCGCCAGAGGCTTGTAGGCGGCCAGCTCCGGCAGCATGTTCACGTCGTATATCGCCAGCCCGGACAGCTTCTCTGCCAGGTCCTCTGACAGATGATTCAGGTAGCTCCACTGGATCGGATGCTCGACAGGTGGTATGGGCGCAAACACTGACACGTCGGTGACCGTCATGTCCAGCAGCCCAAGGAACTCATCCACCCACCCCTCAGTGCGTTCAGCCATCCTGAGCTGCTTCTTGAATACGGGGTTGGAACTCGTGTGCAGCATTTCTGCTAGTGGGATCACTATATCGGGATGCAGCTTCTCGATGGCCGAGGCGTACTTGGCCACAGTGATGGAGGCGAAGCCTGTTGACGTGTAGATGCCGATATTCTTGTCTGTATTTCCAGCGGGCGGTACCACAGCAGGCACACGTCGCGCTCCCATGATGGTGGAGACATGGCGCGGAAAAGAGGTGAAGGCGTGCAGCGCATCGTGGGCTGGTGTCTTGAGTATCGGCGGGTCCTTCTTGTCCAAGACTGTATCAAGTGTCAGCCAGAACGACGTGTACGCGTAGGTCTAGGCGTGCATGGCGTCCTTGTCTCTTCACATACAGTCTTCGAGAGCCATGTAGGCTGATGACAGAGAGGAGTGCTTTGATAGGACATCCGGCGTCAGATGAGGGATGGTGCCTCGTGATGCAAAGCCTGTGTAGTTGGGTGTATCTATCGCCTTGCGACCTGGAAGTGAGAGACGACCCAGCCTTGCAGCACAGTCGTTGCCGCCCTCTGCGGCCCACATGACCTTGAATAATCTCTGCGACGATGCCATCGTCGGGTCCGTCTGATCAGCAGCCGTCATCTTGGTATGACTCCGTACCAGGCTGCAACGGGTAATGACGTCTGGCCAGAGACGGTATTCCAGCCGATGCCTGTGCGATGGGAAAGAAATGCCAAGCTGAATATGCGTACACTGTTTTCATTCACCGGATAAACAAGGACGTATCTCCATTCAGAGGGAGAGGCAAGCGGCCGTAGTCTGGCACTCTCTCACGTTGTTGATTGAGGAAGAAGTTGTCGTGTGAGGTCGGGAAAGAACCTGTGTGCGAATGTCGTACGGAGCATGTGTAAATCATCCAAAAAGCGCCCACCCATAGTGTAGGCATGTGAGAATCCGGTCGAGCAATGCACACCTGGCCGTATTTCCCGATTCAGACACGAGACACTCCTTTCCCCGAGGACTAGTACGGAGTACATGTACCCACGTGTTAGCGCCCTTGTACCTTTTGAATTTCCATGTCTGAATCGACGTGGGAGTCCCAGCAAAGAGTACAAGTTGAGACAGTCTTCTGTAACAGATCCTCCCGGGTGCATGGATACGAGTCCTAGTACTAAACCATCTATCACGCTCCCCTGTGGGTTCTGAAGAGAGAAAGAGAGAGAGCGAGCGAGCGAGCGAGAGAGAGAGAGAGAGAGGACGAATTCTGAAGAAAAGTGGCGACGACGTAATACTCTCTCGGTCATGGTCAACTACCGACATGACGAGACCGTGCCCCTCATGACCGATCCGGACCATCGAGACGACGAAGCCGCCAGACCAGACCGCGTGGTCAACGACGCAGGTAGCGAGGTCGAAGAAGCAGCCATTGGTGATGCGGGCCATCAACACCCGGATGCACCTCTCGAGAGCGCGGCAAACAACACCGACAACGACGATTCCAAGAATGCTTTCAACGTCACCACCCATCGCGACAACCCGGCCGACTCTTCCGGCGGTTCCGGACCCGACCGATCGACCAGTCCCCTCGAGATCGTAGACGACAACCTGGGCGGCCACGACGGCGCCCGCGGTAGTGGGAGCAGCATCTCGACCCCGCGCTTCCTCCAGGAGGAGAGGTCATCTCGACGGTGGAATTGGGTGCCGTACAGTGTGCGCCGCACCGCCAGGGCAGTCAACAAGTGGTCCTGGGGCCCTCCGAACCCGCAACCGTACCGCATCACGCCCTTCTTCCCCGCTGTCCAGCAGTTCCCGCTGTATCTGGTGGACCGGTTCCTGCCGAAGCGCAAGCAGCGCGGCTGGCTCATATCCGTCTACTTCTCCCTGTGGATCATCACCTTCACGCTCGTCAAGCGGGCGGGCACCATCTCGACCGAGGTTCCCGGCTGGGGCACGCCCGAGGACATCGGCTGCGGCACCACGTACTGGAGCTCGGGCAACGGGTGTGGCATCGACGGCAACGACTGCCGCCCCTTCAACAACAGCGGCTTCCTGTTCCGCTGCCAGGGCAGCTGCGACAGCTACCACGTCCTCAACCCGCACGCCGTGGGCGATCAGGAGGCCATCTACCGGTCCATCGTGGTCGGCGGGCCGACCGATGGCGAGACGTACTACCGCGGCGACTCGTACATCTGCGGCGCCGCCATCCACGCGGGTATCATCGACAACGCGCACGGCGGCTGCGGCGTGGTCGAGCTCATCGGCGAGAGGAAGTCGTACGACGCGTCGAAGCGCAACGGCATCGAAAGCCTGGGCTTCGACACATACTTCCCGCTGTCCTTCCGCTTCGTCCCCGGCATCCAGTGCAGCGCGCAGGACATGCGCTGGTCGCTGCTGGCCATCTCCACCGTCTGGACGGCCGTGCTGTCCGTCTTCACCGACTCCGCCGCCCTGTTCTTCTTCGGCAACTTTGTCATGATGTTCTGGACGGTGGGCATGGCCACGGACACGCCGTCCTACAGCTCCGTGGCCAGCCTCTTCTCCAACATCCTCGGAAAGTTCCTGCCCGCCATGTTCTGCGCCTGGGTCATCTACGACAAGATGGGCGTCAAGCGCACGCTGGGCGGGCTGACGGCCCAGCTCGAGAAGACGGTCCTGTGGCTCGGCCCCTGCTGGGTCGGCGCCCTGGACAACTACACGCTCGACTTCATCCCCATCCAGCGCCTCACGGGCCACGACCTCGAGCAGCAGCCCGGCGCGAAGGCGGCGCTGGCCGTCATCGTCATCGTGCTCACCGTCATCGTCGCCTCCCAGGTGTGGTTCTTCCGGCAGGAGGGCCGCTTCCGGCGGTACATCAAGGTGTACGCCCTGTTCATCGGGGGCATCGTCATCGCGCTGCTCCTCCCCGGCCTGGACCTGCGCATCCACCACTACATCCTGGCCCTGCTCCTCCTGCCGGGGACGAGCATGCAGATGCGCCCTTCCCTCGTGTACCAGGGCCTCCTGGTGGGCCTGTTCATCAACGGCATCGCCCGGTGGGGCTTCGACTCAGTCCTCCAGACCCCCGACGATCTCCGGGGTGATGCCCAGCTGGGCACCGAGCTGCCCGTCATCCCCACGCCCGAGATAGCCCTGGCCAACAGCACCGCCGGCACCGCATCGTCAAACATCACCTTCACATGGAACCTGCCCTCCGGTGGCGCCGCCAACTCCGAGTTCGACGGCATCAGCATCCTGGTAAACGATGTCGAGCGCTTCCGCTCCTACTTTGACGACTCGGTCGGCCAGGAGGACAGCTTCGTCTGGCAGAGGGACGCCGACCTCGCCGTCCCGGAATACTTCCGCTTCGCCTTCATGGACGGCTCCTCGTCCGGCGACTATACCAAGGCCGGCACGTGGACTGCCCAGGGCGAGTGGGTTACCATGAAGCCTGGGCCGTCCAAGATCAAGGCTAGAGATGCACCGTCTGATATTGTTGTCAAGGGACGACGACGTTGACTTCTTTTTCTTTCCTTGCCATTTATCTTCTTCTACTTCTTACATCTATCGAAGTCTTCCTGTTTTTATGTGTGTCTCAACGGCCTTTCAGATATCTCCTTTTTTTTTTTCAAATATACCTGTATGATTCCTTCTGTGTACAGCGTCTTGGGTCTTTTCGAGTGCTTTGTATGAAGGTGCAGTCGTGATAAACAATACAACTTCCGTCGAATTCATCTGAGATGTAATGATACGAGCATTTACATACGCCTGTGCAGCCAGCACGTGCGAATTGTTAGTGAAGCTACTGATAGTTGAAGCTACCTAGGGTAAGTTATTAGGTCTAATTGTCTACCTCTTGTCTGCCGCAACATTCTGTCTGCAATGTAGGAAATGCACTACTATCCTCCATTCCTCCGTGATGCTTGTTTTCTCCATCGTCCGTATGATTTATTCCTTGGCGAAACAGTCCCGAGCGATTTCCCTGGAGTTCTAGACCGATTCCTCGCGTGTTGACGGACAGAAGGACTCCTGACAATATCTTTCCTGTAAGCTTAGGGTGTCCTTTCTGTACACTTCGCTGATATACTCAACTAAGGTAATGGCTTCAGCTGTCGTGATCGGGGACTGATGGATGCAGTCTGTGAGATACAAGCGAGCCCGTTGAAAGGCAAGGTTATCATCTCTGAGGAAAAGTTCATGCCTGCAGAGAGCATCCGTTATTTGTCCCCATCGTGCGTCCTCGACAGGGCCCTGGCGGACACGAAATAGATCCCTGTCCCAAAACAGGAGTTTTTTGTCCTGCGCCCGGACGAGACCACATGAAGGCACAATAAAGTTGACAATGTTGTAATCTTGTATCGGCAAAGCGTTGTTTCGATTGCACGTTTTCTTCTCGTTCAGAAGAACAACTCCCTTCCGCGAACCGAGTCAAAAAACCTCTGACACGAAAGCTTACTCCATTATTCCAATCTCCAGGACACGAGTGAGAAAGTGTGTGAGCTATCATTCGAAGAGAACGACGCACTCGTCCCGTCGCTGGCATCCCCCTGTGCAGTCCAAAAGGTTGAGATTCGTAACTGGGCATGATCCCTCCAGCTGAACTCTGATTGCCAGATGATGGGCCATTAGGAGACGCGATGAAGGGCTCGTGGGGGCTTTTTGGATCCAAATTTGTCAATGGGTTTGACATTGTCAACTTGTATACTGGTAACTGAGCCCATCGAGTCCCAAAGTGGGTAAGCGGGATACCTGTCCTTCCCATCCAGCATCGAGCCCACTCGTCATCTTGGGCACTGAAACGGAATTCGTGCTCCTGTGGGAATCGAGTAACTTCCTCTTGCAGTGTGGACAAGATAGCATTGCAGGATGAATGACAAGTGTTTGTTTGGATGTCGGCCGGTTGGCTCGGCTGCATTGACATAGTGGCTGCTCGGCCGATGGAGAGCTGTACATTATCTTCCAGAAGAGGGCTAGATGCTGCAGTGAAAGATTGAATGATAGTGGTGCCGAAAATGGAGCCACCTGCTCGACCAATACTGTCCGAGACAGGCCACGATCGGCTCATATAAGTATCCATCTTGTCGTCTTCAGTATAGGCGCCGGCTGCAGTGAGCAGTGTCCTGTTATTCAGTGGCTGGATTGTCCACCCCCCGGAGAAGCAGGCGGTTGTAACGATTGCTATCGGTACATCGTCAGCAACAGCGGACTTGATGGCGTCAAATCGCACAATAGCTGTATCGTCATTGAATTCCCTTGAGTAGTCCAAATAGATGCCTAGATCAGGAGTGCCGTGGCCGAAGACAAAGGCTACTATGGGGCAGGGCGGCGTTGATTCCTGAGCAAGCTGGCTTGCGGATTGGAGCACGTCGATGAATCCTTTGCAGATGTTTTCGGGGGCATGGACCTGCTGCGAGTTAGGCACAAGAGAATGAGGTCCTTTGCAGGTAACATGCATACCGTCAGTGGAGTGAGATTCCTTGCTTAACCAAGCCTTTGCTAAACACCACTTTGCGTTCATTGCAGGGGTTTCCATGAAGAAATCCAGGTTCGTGTTGCGGATGATCCTTGATAAAGTCCAGAAAAGAGTGCTCTGAATCTGCAGCAATCCAGACCTGCTGCAAGCCCTAATCTTTCAGCAGATAATTGAAGGCAGAGAAGTCGGACATGAACCAGCTATCGCAGTCTTCCTCTAGACACTGATGGTTGGCCTGGACACCACATACACCGATAATGATGGTGTCTTGGTGAATGTCGGGTAGCGTGTGTGATGGGATCAAGGGGGGCAGTGTCTTCCGGCCGTAGTACGCCGCGCTGGGGACAAGATTGGCCATCGTGGAGGGATACTCTGTGCGGATGAGAGAGACTGATGATGATGATGGAGGAAGAGCAAAGAGCTGATCTCCTGGGGCAATCTGAAGTGTACTCAGGAATAGGTGTGGAAGCTGATGAGAGTTGGAGGAAAGAAGGAAGAGAGGGAGGGGGGGGGAAGTGGCAAGCAGGCACCTTGAATATGGGGGAGGAGCCACCATGGAAGATTTGGTGAAGGTGGCTGAAGTCGTCAACTTTCCCTCCCCAACCTCATTCTGAGAGTGTCATCGATGGCCAAAGGGGGTCATAAAGAACCTCAAGATTCGAGGATGCATCAGTCAACGCTGCCAAGGTTATTTACCCAGCACTATCTGTATATATCTAGACCACAGAAGAGTATCTCGAAGCTAATACATCGAAGTTGTTAGTGGATTGTCCAGTGCCTGTGGAATTTTGGATGTATCGCGAATCTCCTCACGACAGATCAGCAGTCCAGAGTACCATCCTCGGATTTTGGTCAAGAGTGCACCCACCAGCCTGTCTGCACCCCCCTCTGTTCTATCTGCCAAGAGCAACCTCTTAGCCAGTGCAATCTCGCGAGAGCCATACATCCATATGTAGATCTCCCAAAAGCATGCTTGCCAGCCGCTAAAGCCTCGCCCTCCAGAGCCACCAACACTCTATCATGTGGGTGATCCTTGCAGAATGCATGGAGTTTTCCAAGTGGCCCCTTGGTCTCGATAGAAATCTCCTCAAGCATGCTAATTAATAATATTAGCAGAACTTACAACATTTCCGCCTCGCAGCTTGGAGATGACGGATGAAAGCGATGGATAGCCTTGATCCCAAAAGCTTTCAGCATCAAGACAAGCTCAAACCTTGTTGGATGCTTCTTCGTCTTTCTGGATAATCCACGCTCGAGGCCTCTTCATAGGATCCATGACCCTCATCGACGTGCACCAGCTCAAGGCCGTCATTAGTACGGACCGCAAACCCCTGAAGTACTTTCTTTGCTCATGGGCCTTTCGCTTCCTCGAGTCTGCGGTGATCCAAAAGTGCACAAGCGCGGCGTGTATGATTTGAATTCGGTCGTCAGGTACTGGTTTTGAAACTACTTGACTGCCTCCTAGACGTCACCGTGCAAGTTCAGATCCCCAACACCGAATGCCGGTATGGTGAGAAATGAATATTGGGTGTACCCCTGGTTCTTGTCGTATGATTGCTGGGTCTTAAGCGGAATGAATCGTTGACAGCTAGGGGCGCTTGAGTTGAATTCTCGAAATGCGCGGGCATCGTCCAAGATATGAGCGCCGCTGATACTGCCATCTAGGCCCTAGCCATATAGCCTCTCCAACACGGTCTCTTCAACATGGCCTCTTCTTGGGACGGTTCCGGGGAGGGTGATGGGGTGTTGCCGACGCCAAGCCGTAGTCTTGAGATCTCGAAGACGCGCACGGCTGAAAAGGGTGCAAAATGGAAAAAAAGCTCCCGATATTCTTCGATTGATTCAATCCACTGAACAGAGAGTGTGCGGCGAAGCAGTCCATTTTGGGGTCATCATCAGGCAACGATCCCAGAAAGTTATATGGTCTCGTGACCGCAAGTTCTCCCGTTCTGCCTGTTTTGTTGTGCCATAAAGACAACATCCCTCGGTGAGTTGGTCATTCCAGGGAGTCAGAAGGCTGTCTAATGCATGCCTGTTGAGTGGAAGGGGCAATTACGAAATCCTCAACATGCTGATATGATGAACATGTCGCGGTTACGGGCACATCAGCAGCAGAGAACCGGCTCTCCACGGCCATGGTCGATGATGGTTTTCATTTAACAAGCGAGGGGGCGAATAGCATAAGGAGGGCCTTGGGAAGGAAGAACGTGGGAGTGGTAAGTCATGAGGTTGGAAAGCCACAAGGTTGGGATGTCACGATATTGGGAGGCCGCGAAATCGAAATGCCGCGACATTAGAGAGCCGCATGGACAAGAGAGAAGAGAAATGCACGCAAGTTCGAAGGATGAAGTAGGATTGGGGACGGTAGGCGGTGGTGTGGGGATGCGGTGAAGAGGCACACCAGAAACCGTGCAATAAGGCACGTGACTAGGCGTGTTGCTGGACTAAACCGCTGCGCCACTAAGTAAAAATTTAGGCCTGATTACTTAGGTGGCTGTAGCAGCCGGTTATACGTCTCTCACAGTCTGACACGCACTGCCAGGCAAAGCTGGATCTCGAGGTGCAGGCGCGCGCCACCTTTAATACTACTTAAAACCCCTAAGCCTGGCATTCATACATGGCTCACCCCACGCACCACCACCTGAAAGCAGATTCCACCAACTTCTTTGAGCAGGGAGGCACTCTATACAGACGGGGAAACAACAGCGTCGTATTTCTTCAGTTCTTCTCTTCAACTCTCTACTCGATACGAGCCCATCAGAAAAGAGAAGAAAATACATCAACATGCCGCCCCGCGTCCCCGTAGAATCCGACTTCGCCGACCTCCAGGCCACGGTCCCCCACAAACTACACTTCCCCTCGCCGCCCGAGTCGACAACGGCCCTGATGCTCGTCTTCCACGGTCTAGGCGACACACATACCAACTTCTCCGCCTTTGCGCCCTCCACCAACCTCCCCGGCGTCATGGCCGTGACCGTGCGCGGGACGTCCCGTCTGCCCGACTCCCTGGGGCTGGGAATCGAGGGCTTCCACTGGGGCGACGACCTGATCATCGATCAGGCTACGGGCGATCTGGACGACGACGCCGGTTTCGACAAGGCCGAGAAGGTCATAATGGACGAGGTTCTCGGGCGGGTCATCATCGGAGAGTGTGGGTGGGAGACGACCGACGTCCTCCTGTTTGGCTTCGGGCAGGGCGGGACGTTGGCGCTGGGACTGGCGGCGAAGCTGGCCGACCAGAACGGAAAATTCAAGGGCGCCGTGTCTGTTGGAGGATCGATGCCGGCGTCCATGGCTCCGAAATCGGGCAAGAAGAGTGCTACAGAGGTGCTGGTCGTGCAGCTCGAGGATGACGAGCCCGTCAAGAGGCATTTTGACAATGTGCGTGTCGCCAATTGGGATCGGAAGGGCGTAGATATGCCCCGCAACAGGGACGAGATGGTGCCCATAATGAAGTTCTTCGCCGAGAGGTTGAATAGCGGGTGGCCGGGGGACCAGGCTCAGGCTCAGGCTCAGGCTCAGACTCCAGCCCAGTAATTTAAGCTCAAGAGCATACTGAACAACGAGAATCACGTAGCTGCTGTCTGTAGCATCTCGGCGAGGGTATCCCATTTGGCGGCCGAGACATCGCTGCTGGCCCTGGCCACGCTACGCAGCCCGCTGCCCATAAAGCGCAGGTTCTTGTCGAAGTCGGCGTTGATGGCCACGTAGTAATCCGACGACGGCGGCGTCGCGTGGTGCTTCTCGAGCCGGACAGCCAGGTCGAATATGTCGAGGATGCAATGGCGGATGGGGGCGAGACGGGAACCCAGGCATGCCTGGTCGACGACGTTCTTGATGAAGGCGTCGTGGACGGCGGCAATGGCGTCAACATCGTTGGCAGCACCGTGGTCGCGGTCGAGGAGGTCTCGCCGCAACTGAACGGTGCAAGGGGTCAGGACGAGCGTGGCCAGGTACGTCTGTACAGTGGCGCAGAACCACACGAGCTTGTTGCGGCAGAGGTAGTACAAGGCTCTCTCGGGCCAGCGCTCGTGGTCGGTCCAGTAGCCGTCTAGCACGCGCGGGCGATGGAGGGCGTACGTGGCGCGGCGGAGCTGCAGCAGCAGCGTGAAGACGGCCTGGTACTGCTCTTCGACTCCGGGGGAGAGTACCATCTGAATGGGCCAGGGGAGACGGTACGTCAGACGGATGTGAGGGAGTCCAGCCTGGACGCAGTCCCTGGCCTGTGTCAGATCCACGGATTGCCCCGCGTCGGTTACGCTGACGAGCAGCCTGTTCGCGTCGACCTGGGGGTAGTGTTCGTGACCTATGGCTGTCAGGGCCGGACCATCGTGCCATCGCGGATACAGCCCGCCGATGCGCTCGAAGACATCCTGACAGAAGCCAGAGGCTGCCGAGCCATCCGACATGAGGTACAGGAGCTGAAGGGCCTCGAGGGATTGGACAAGGCGGCACTGACCAAACAGGGCATTGCGGAGCGTTGTCGACGTGGCACTGTACCGGCTCTCGAGCCAGCGGTCAAATGCAGTTGCGAAGAGGTACGAGAAGGGTGCTAATTCGGATCCGGGAGGACATACGGTATCGTAACCGAGGTCCATGCCGCTCTGCCGGCCGGGGATGCTTGTGGCCGCAATGCCCAGTTGAGCCAGAACGACAAGGCTCTTGCCTGCATTGAGAATCTTGGAGGCGGCGGGACGAAGAAAGGCGGGAGCGTGCAAGCTGCCGTCAGGGGTCAGGCGGAGGTGGAACCGGCTGCGCCATATATCACTCAAGGCCGTGTCGTGGGTGACCTCGTAGATGAAGAACATCTTGTCATGTCGTAACAATTTCCCCTCGTCCATCCACAGGCGGACGGGACGGAGGTAAACGTTGAAGCACTCGACAAAAATGCGGGCAAGGAATTCGTATAGATCAGGCTTACCGCTCAGCTGCATGAGGTTGGCCTCGTCGTAGAGCAGTTCGAGGTAGCGGAATGGTCCCGGATCGTGCTCCTGGCCTACGCGGGCGATGATGGTCGACAGGATGCACAGGGGCTCAGTCCAGGGGGCCACATCGGTGCGCAGCGACATGAGGCTGGCCACGACGGGGGCGTCCGTATTCCCGGTGGCGGGGGGCGAGGCGAGGCGTGAGTGCATATCGGACAGGCGGGCATCCAGGCTAGAAAGACGGATCACAACGCAGTCCTGGAAGGCTTGGAGGTGCGAGGCGTCGGGGTTGTCCTGCGCAAACTTGCGCAAGCGACGTAGCAGGCGGCCCGTCTCAGTAAATGTGTTGATCAGGGCCCTGTGAGTGTCCCAAAGGAGGTGGCGAGTCTGGAAAGAGGGCAGCGGGTTGCACCGTGCGTCAAATATGGTGGTGTCGAGGCCCTGGAGCATGAATAACACCTCACGAACGACCTGGAGTTCGCTGACGGCTATCTTGCGCGCGTGGCCTGAGGTATCGGTTGACGGCTTCGCGATGCGCCACTGCTGAGCCTGGCAGATAGCCTGGAGCAGGTCGGCATCGTCTGGTCTGATGATGAGAACCTCTGCTGTCCTTCCCACGTCACCATCACCTGAGCCTGTCGTGTCCGATGCTGCATCCTCAGAACGGTCACCAGACAGGTAGTCGTCCTCGGAGCTGCTGTCGTCGTAGCGTATCGTCTTCCACAGGGCAGCGTCATCATCATCCCAGCCGTCCTCGCGCGCCACGGTCTCCCACCTGAGACCCTCTGGGGTCTCCTCCGGGGGCGGATTCAGAGCCTCGACGTCGGCCAATCTCGTCTTGAAGGTGGGCTGGTCCGACAGCTCCAGGAGCAGATGGAGAATGTCGGGATTCCACTTGGAGGGGCATGTCTCCTCGAGCGTGTCCAGACTCTGGCGGAGGACATCAGCCAGACCTTCTCGGTGGTTTATACGGAAGCGCTCCTCCAGCCCATATAGACGATTGGCCACGTCGAACTGGTTCGTACGCAGATATGAGTGTGATTTGAGCTTGGTGAGTACGCCTTGGCGAATGTGGTCAAAGGCAGTCGAGTCTTGAGTCGCAGACAAGCCGGTCGTTGATTGGACCAGCTCGTCGATGATGACACCGAGCCTTGCAGCAAACGCCATTATCTCAACACCATATCAGATGATAGGGTTCGGTGTTGCGTGCTGTGAAGTTTGTCGTCTTGAAGCTGGAGACGCGGTGTGGTATGAGAGCCGCGCCTCTGTTGCTTCCACTGTATTATAGGCGTAAGGTCCCGCTACAGCCTGCCCGTGTAGGATATGTGGAATGACTCCCCAGGCGCTACGGCGGACGCCTTTTAGTGGGCACCTCATCCATATGTGCTAGCTGGCCATGGTACGAACATGTAAAGACTGGACTCGTGGCGGGACCAAGATATCTGCGACGACAGATGTAGAGCGCACAGTTCCCGAGTGTAGGCGCCTATTGTTTCCTACGAGACAGTGAAGAAAGAGAGCAACTTCGGGCACCTTGACGAATGATAGGCGGGACTTATAGGTCTGAATATTCTGTGGCGTACACAACGGTACCGCCACAGAAGAGCCTACAGAGGAGAACTCCCAAGGCGATCCGTTGTGTGGCGGTGTGGACTGTGGCATTCAAAGGATATGCTACCAACGCCTGTCACTGTCAGCATCCCGCAATCCTGGCTCCTATGACCTGTTCTTCCTTGGCAACAGTGACGGGCGTCAGGCACCATGTTGAACAGCCAGGACGAGACACTTACGAGTAGAATCCCAGACCCACTTGGCATCCATGCTCTAAGACTTGGCTCCCGGGTGACGAGCTTCAGCGACTGAATCTGAGGAGGAATATCCACTATTGATAGCTCGGGATGGTATTATGCATCGTAATACGAGAACTCGTATATCCTCACAAGTACTCCTAGTATTCCTAGTATTGGTACTACAGTAACATCATTACATCGTAGTTATAACTATATCCCGAAACCCCTGCCCTCAATCGATATCCGCAGATGATTATTTCCCTTGAGTTTCCGTTATCACTGTTGTTTACACACATTTCCTATCACGGCCAGTAATACTACTGATTTAATGTGTCACGGGCCGGAAAAACATTGGTCCTATAACTTTGGGAAGGGGGGGGGGGGGGGGGGGGGGCTGATCCCAGAAAACAGGTTCCTGAACTCTCATCGAGAGAAAGTTGTTATTTTTATCCTCAATGCTAAAAGAATAACTCTGGCGTGTTTTCATTTCCCTTTTTCTGTTCCTTCTTCTTCTTGGTTATCTTCTTTTATTTTCGCTTTCGCTTTCGGCTCCCCGGTTCTGCTGCCACCGCCATCAACGCCGTTCGTCGTCAATTTACTGGGTCTACGGTACATCACCATCATCCATCTTCCCTCGTCGGTCGAAGCCCTCAGTCGATGTTCCGATATTGGAAATCATGATTTGATTCTCCTAGACACACGCGTCCTCAACTTCTCTACCGCTACCGCTTTCCCTTATTCTCATGGGCCGCTGACGTAATCCGACGCGTACCCACGATCATCAACCGTGCGGCCCCCTCCCTCCGCCCCTCCCCTATCATGACAATAGCACGACCTGTACGGGCGCTCATTGTAGGCGCTGTCCTGCTCTGGTGCTTCCTGATCTATCAAATATTCAAGCCCGTGCCCGAGTTTCACGGCCCTGGCGACCGCTACATCAACTTTGAGCGTGATCCCAACCTTGATCGTAAGTGGTGGCGATAGCTCCCTCCCAACAATACTATCGGTCTAATAGTAGAACTCCGTCGCCTCGCAGCCACGTTCGAGCCAAAGGGAACACTGAGGCGCACGTCTGAACGCTATGCCCCCGACGCCGAGGACCCGGCTCGCATCGATGCCACGCTGTTGGCCCTCGTGCGCAACGAGGAGGTCGACGACATGGTCTCGTCCATGATCGACCTGGAGCGCACGTGGAACTCCAAGTTCAACTACCCGTGGACCTTTTTCAATGACGTTCCCTTCACCGAAGAGTTCAAGAAGAAGACGTCGGCAGTGACTAAGGCCAAATGCAACTATGGTAAGGACAGCCTCCACGCTACTTCTGCTGCGGACCCCTCCTTTGGGTACTGACAAGAGACCCTGTTGTTATTAGAACTCATTCCCAACGAGCACTGGGATAAACCCTCATGGATCGATGACAAGACGTTCAGGCAGTCAGCCAAGGTCCTCGAGTCCAAGGGCGTCCAGTACGCCAGCAAGATGTCGTACCACCAAATGTGCCGGTGGAACAGCGGCCTCTTCTACAAGCACCCTGCCCTTCGCGATACGCGCTACTACTGGCGTGTTGAGCCCAACGTCCACTTCTTCTGCGATGTCGACTACGATGTCTTTGCCTACATGTACGACAACAACAAGACGTACGGCTTCACCATCAACCTCTACGACGATCCCCGGACCCTACCCACCCTGTGGCCCGAGACCGTCAAGTTCCTCGAGAAGCACCCGGAGTACCTCGACGAGAACAACGCCGTCGGTTGGGTCACTGACGACACTCACCGGCCCGAGAACAACCACCGCGCCCAGGGCTACTCGACTTGCCATTTCTGGAGCAACTTTGAGGTTGGCGACATGGAGTTTTGGCGCGGAAAGGCCTACGAGGACTACTTTGACCACCTAGATCGCGCTGGAGGGTTCTTCTACGAGCGATGGGGCGATGCTCCCGTCCACAGCATTGCTCTCGGCCTGTTTGAGGATTCTAGCAAGATTCACTGGTATGTCCTCTCCTCCCTTTCTTCTGTTCCCTGCTCCCCTTCCCCCCTCCCCCAAACTGTGCCAGTAAGTTGCCAACGTATCTTACATAGGTTCCGTGACATCGGTTACCAGCACATCCCCTTCTTCAATTGCCCCAACTCGCCCAAGTGTCAGGGTTGCGTGACGGGCCGTCTTACGGATGGTGAGGCGTGGCTTCATCGCGACGACTGCCGACCCGTTTGGTTCAAGAATGCCGGTATGGGCTGATGATTGACGATTTCATATCCTTTTTTTTCTTTACTACTTGCTACTTCTTTGTTTCGCACCAAAGGAGGTGCGAAATCTTGGGTTCATCGTATTTGGGTCGGTTTCCTGTGGGGAGGGGTTTATAACCTGCTATCCTGGTCAACAACAAAGGCAAGGTTGTATATAATATATAGAGACGAAAAAAAAACAGACTTCTTCACTGATGGGAATGGATGCGCCGGCGCAGCATAATATATATACAAAATCGGACAACTCAGAGACTGAAATGATGTATCTTCTTTTCCGAGGAGAAAACGGAAAAGAAGAGGATGATAAAAGACGAAGAGAGAAGATGAATCACAGAGCGCCATAGACAGTGACAACACCAGACGAGGCTCCCACGCAGAACTGGTCCCCCCATCCGCCGTCCCTCCAATCCATACAGGTCACGACATTGGACCTAGGCTTCTCCTTGCCATCCCTACCGACGACCTTCTTCCGCGGGGCCGCACCCCATGGGACAGCCAGTCTAGCGACGAGTTTGGCGGTGAGGAGATCCCACACCCAGACCCTCCCGTCGTCGCCTTCGGGGCCGGACGGCGGCGGGGCCTCATCCCCGGCGACGACGTACCTCTCCCCCGCACCGAGCATGGACTGCACGCGCAGCTCGGCGTTCCTGAATTCCGGATGCGAGTAGGCCCTGAGGCAGGACCCGGTGTCCCGGTCCATGAGGCGGAGTCTGCTGTCGAGGCTGCCGACCAGGACGGTCCTGGCGTCCCTGGCGAGGCACAGGCTCGTGACGCTGGCGCCGACGACGTCGCTCGTGACGCGGCCGGCCCGCACGTCGTACGACCGCACGCGACCGTCGACACTGCCGGCCAGCACCGTGTCCCCGTGCACGGCGAGGGAGGTGACGGCGTCGCGCGCCTCGTCGAGCACCTGGATCGGCCGTCCGCCTCCGCCGCGCGTGTCCCATATCCGCACCGTCGTATCCGCCCCGCCGCTGACCACCAGGCACCCGCCCGTCCCGGCCAGACGCACGCAGTTGACGCGCGACCCGTGCCCGTCCGTCCCGAAGCGCCGCGTCGTCTTCGCGCTCGCCACGTCCCACACGTACACGGCCCGGTCGCCGCCGCAGCTGGCGAACCGCTCATTATCGTGGGACACGCACACGTCTAGCACCTCGTAGCCGTGGCCCTGGTACGTCTGCACCAGTCTGCCTTCCGGGACTTGCTGCTGCTGCTGCTGCTTCCCCCCCTTGCCGCCACCTTCCTTGGATGCCCGTGCTGGTGCTGGTGCTCCTGTGCTGGGAAACGGATTGTACAGCCGGATGGTCCTGTCTGCTGAGCCTGTCAGGATATATGTCCCCGGTGAGGCAGAGTATGACACGGCGTGGACGGGGCCTTGGGGGCAGAGAGGAGTTAGCAGTCGAATCTGAATGGTGGAAATAACAATCTGAGGTGCCGAGAGAATGAAGACTACCGTTGGACCCTAGCAATTGAGATGCCGGCTTATCTGGGATTCCTGCCATGGTATGTGTTTTCTGTGCGCGTGTCGCTAGTGTCTTGGCCAAGTTTCAATAGTTGTGATGATCAACTTGTCCTTCATGTTACTATGAACAAAGTCTGAAATCTCCCATCTACAACTTAACCTATATAGTATTATATGGGTCGCGACGTCGTCGGAATGTAACGCACCCATCCATAAGAGACTGGAGCAACATCACCATGGTCATGGCCATGGTCGTTAATCGCAAGCACAGTGGACAGTTTCAATGTTTGGTATCCAGGCCAGATGTTTTGATAGTTGAAGGTAAATGCATTCCAGTTGCCCGGTATCCTGTGTATCCTTGCTTCACTCGTTCCCCAAAGTCCCATCGCTACCTAAATTCGACATCTCTCAGCATCGTTTCGACGCAATGCTTCATGTATTTTCGTCCCTCTCTCTTCCACTCCCAAACCCCCCCCACTCCCCAGAAGAAAGATAAAAGAAGAAAAAAAGAAGAAGAAAGACCTTGTCGTACATGTTATAACCCCAAAACACCTTGGAAAACAAGTATGCAAAAGAAAAGAAAAATTTCCCATCACAGTCCCGACATGTACATAGATACACACACACACACACACACACACACACACATATATATATATATATATATGTATATGTATATATGTATATATTCTAGATGAATCCCTCAGGCAGCGCTAGGATAAATCATATCCATATCCCGCGCATACAACTTCCGAATCGGTTCCTTCATCTCCCAGAAGTAAGTCTCGCCCTTGTTCTCCTCGACCTTTGTCACGATGCGGAAGCCGTCCTTGGCGCTAGGAGCACGCGAAGGCCGGTCCCTCACGATGCTGAGCTCTCGCAGGCGCCGGTCAATGGCGAGCTGCACATCCCGAGCGCCGTCCCACACGCTGCACACGGCGTCCACGAGTGGCTTCATGAGACTCACGTAGCTGATGACCTTGTCCACCGACGACAGGGGCTGAGTCGCACTGAGCACGTCCACGGCCTCAGCCACGCCTGTCGACGTCATCGGGAAAGGCATGGTGATCATGACACGTCGCGATCGGAGCACGCTCTCGACAATCTCTGCCATGTCGACCGTCGCCATGGCGGAGTCGTAGCAGCGTCGCATATGGCTCGCTCCCGTCTCCGCGGAGAGCTGATGGGGAGCTCGGCTGTGGCGGTTGAGCTTGATCATCGCATGGTTGCAGAGCAGGTGCATGGCCAGGAACGAGCCGGCCTGGCCAGAGTGGGCTGCGGCGTCGAGGTTCGACCGGCTGAACAGCAGTCGACTGGGGAGGACGGTCTGCCACGCCTCCAGGGCGGTGACCAGGGCGTGGATCTTGGAAGCCTCCGTCTCGGCAGAGATCGGACGGTTGACCAGCCGGTAGAGGGACGACTGGCACTCGGCCCAGAGGTGCACCATCTCGACCAGGTACGCGTCCACCTCCTGGGGCTGGTCTCGCGTCCTCGACATGCTGAGCTGCAGCGGGTTGAAGAACGGAGACTGGTTCTCCATCTGCCGCTCAAAGAGGTAGCGGTCGGCGGGGAGGCGGATATATACATCCTCGGGGTTGACCGACACGATACGCTCCGGGAACCTTCCATCCAGGCGCTCCAGCATGAAGAACGACCACAGGGTGCGACGGCGCGCCTCGCAGTATCCGGCCCTGCTGAGGCCCAGCGGGTACGACGTCATGGCTGCGTCCCTGGTCTTGTCCAGCTCGAGGTTCAGCTGGAGGTGGTTGATCGACGCCGTGGCGGCCGACATGACCTCGGTGGCTTCGACCAGTCGCGACGCCGACATGTAGTAGACGGCCAGGAGAACTCTGGTCTGCGCCAGCTGGAGGCAGCTGGCCAGCGTCATCTTCTGGGCGTAATGCGCCACCTGGGCGTACTCGAAGGCGATGTGCTTGGGGCCCCCCCCCAAGGCCATGCCGACGGCGAGGATGCTGTACAGCAGCATCAGGTCCTCCGGTGACCTCCAGCGGGCCACGTCCGACACCCAAGCCCTGGTGGCCTGTTCGGGGAGGAGCTGGAGGACCATGGTGCTGTTGATGTGAGCGAAGAACTGGGCCACGACGGCGTCGGTCGACTGCGGATTCGCGACGTAGGGGTCCGTCTTCCAGGCCCGGCTCAGGTCGTCTTCGGGGATGAGGCCCGTGGCGGGAGGGGGTGGGGGCAGGTTGGCCGCCGAAAGGATGCGGGGCTCGTCACGGTCCGCCGGGCGCGACAGGGTGGGCGAGCGTTGGGTCCGAGCGGGTGACGGCCCGGCGCCACGCTCGAGCTTGATCCGCTTGTTCGAAGCTCCTTCCAGCGGCGACGGTTGGCGCGCAGGCGGCCGGCCGGGTGATCTAGGGGAGCCGTGGCTCTCGGGCCTCTGGAGATCGTGGGTCCTCGCTGAAGTCACGGGTCTTCGGCCGTCGTCGAAATCGGTCAATGGTGTGGATGGTGATCCATTGTGCCCGCCTCTCGGACTAGAATAAGGGGGTTGGGGGGGAGGGGGGGAGGAAACAGTGTCAGTTCAGCTAGCGCTACGACCACTCCGGGATCCCGCCTCTTGCAGCTTCGCGTGTCTGGCTGTTACGTACGCATTCTTGAACTTGCAGACGCGACCAAACTTCTCGCACTGAACGCAGCGGGGGAAGTCGGGGTCGCACTTGATCTTCTTCTCGCGGCAGGTTACGCAGGCGATGGCCAGCCTCTTCCGCGGCTTTCCAGCCTTGGTCACGCCCCAGTGGGCGTTCACGATCTCGCCGTCGATGACCGTCTTGCAGTGGCTGCCGTCGTCGTAAAAGTAGCAGAGGCCTTCGCCGGGTACGTCGGCGGAGCGGACGAAGCGGGGCAGGAAATGGGTACCGGTCCAGATCTTGGGGCCGAGCCCATCTTTTCGGATGACGCCGTCGGAGCCGGGAAGGGTGGTGGCGGGAACCGGGGGGGTGTTCTGGGGAGCTGGCGCAGCCGAGTTTCCGCGGTCGGCGGAGCCGTGAGAGGCGTCCTGATGAGCAGGGAAGCGGAGCCTGAAGTGATCGCGAGGCTGGGGGTAGGCCGGGCTGCGAGCCTCCAGCATGTATTCGTTCCCCGCGGTCTCCTGGTGTGGCGACCAGGTCTGGTTAGCTTCGGGCTCGGGGCGGTGCTGGTGCTGGTGCTGGTGCTGGTGCTGGTCGTGACGGCCATGGTTCGGCGGGCGAAAGCCGGGGGAGGCGAGGCCGGATCGCTGGCGGCCGAGGAGAGGAGGGCGCTCGGGGTCGAACTTGAAATCGTAGGAGCTCCTGGGCTGGGAAGCCGGAGCCGGGGAAGACAGGGTGGGCGGGAAGTAAGACTCGGCGTAGGAGCGGGCGGTCGAGACGCGCGGACGATCCAGGGGCGAGATGGCGGCAAGCGAGCCGCCGTGCTCGGACATGGGAGACTGCATGGGAGGGCGCGAGGGCGGGGGTCCGAAGAGGCTGCTCAGCGAGGGCAGCTGCTGGTGCGAGGACGAGGACGGGTGAGGGTGGGAAGAAGAAGAGACGGCCGGGAGGCCAGAGGAGGCGGCATCGGCGCCCCTGTCTCCGGGCACGGCCGTGGTCGGGGCCTTTTCATAGTCGGACATTGGAGGGGAGGCCAGCGGTCGCGATGTGTTCCAGGGAGCCTCCGACGGCGGAGTAGAGGCGGAGGCGAATGTCGGGGCACCGGGGCTGGCCAGGTCAGGCGGAGTGGCCGGATGGAGCGAGCGCTGACCAGGATCGATGATAGCTGAAGGCCCCATCGAGAAAGCGTCTCGCGAGTTCTGGGAGGTAGAGAGGGATGGCTGTCGGTCTACCTTTCAGAGTGCGCCTGAGAGGTACAGAGGGTGGTGGTGGTGGTGGTGGTGGTTTTTTTCTGGTTGGTTGTTGGCCGTTGAGAGCGGCCAGCCAGCGGGCCGAGTGGCAGACGCCCTTCAGACGCAGTCACAAGACGCAGGTTGCAGCGATGACGAGGAGGAGGATCATGCAGTGATATCACGGCCACCTAGCAGTTCCGGTACATCAGGTAGGCAGGCGTAGAAGGTTGAGAAGTTGGGGTGAAGTTGGATGGGGGGGGGAGCTGGTATTTTGGCGTTGTAGTTGTAGCAGTAGCAGTAGCAGTAGCAGTAGCAGTAGCAGCAGCAGTAGTAGTTGTAGTTGTAGTTGTAGTGCTCGAGGATCATGAGCAGGAGAGAGAGGGAGAGAGAGAGAGAGGGTAGCAGTAGCAGCTGCAGCAGTTGCAGCAGTCAGCAGTACTAGTAGTATGTGATGATGATGTCGGGACGAGATTTCCGAAGTGGAAGTCGAATCCAAACAATGTTCCCGCAGGGTCTGTTCGTGACGGCAGGGGAAGCAGCGTGGAGGTTGCGTAGCGAGAATGGAGAGTGAGACATCAGGGAAGGAAAGACGAGAAGGAGAGAGTCCGAAGGTGGCAGACCGGCAGGGCGATGGCACGACAGCTGTACATGTAGTAAGTAGTGCACTCGTCACAGCGGTCGGTATCATCTGTAGATCAGAGAGACGGACCCTTGGGGAAGGCCGAACACACAGGCCGCAAATGAAGGGGAGGAGGGGGGTGTGTGCTGTGTGTTGTGTGCGTGTGTTGTGTGTGCGTGTGTGCGTGTGTGTGTGTGTGTGTCCGTCCGTCCGTCCGTCTGTCTGTCCCGCTGAGTGCGTCCGGTGTTGGTGGGAGGGCGTGTGAGAGGCGACCGCCGTCGAGACTCTCCCGGGTCTACGCTCTACTGGCCACTACTCCGTGGTCGTAGGAGATATTGGAACCAACGGCGCCAACGGGCTGGGTTTAGATTCTGAATCTGCGGCTTGGCTGCAGAAGAACCGGGAACAGAAGCCACGGTCCCACGGTGCCACGGTCCCATGGGAGTAGCGTTAGCACTATCCGGTCGAGAAGGCAGGATCGAGAGAGAGGGACAGGCGTGCTGTAAGTGGTTCGCAAGAGCGCGACGGCAAGAACCGTTCAGCTAGCGGGTTGCGGCGGATGGTACGGAGCAGTACATGTACGAGCTCACCCTCCGCTGCTGTCGTCGAGCGTACAGCTTAGCTGCTCGGTAGCTACCAGCTGGTGGTACCTGTACATGTATACGTATGTATATATGTGTGCGTGTATATATATATATATATATATATATATATATATATATGCTGCTAGCAGTACGGATACGCACACAGTACTAGTAACCTGTAGTCGTATCCGATACATGGTCGGAGTAGCGTGGCGTACTCGGCAGTACGGAGTAACATTGCACGGTATCAGCATTATTACTAGTCTTACCTGCATTCTCACCTGTATCACCTGTACGGACTGCAGAGCAATCTGTACAGCTACCGATGCCATCTGCGAATCTACGAGCGCGAGCATAGTAGCGGTACGAGCACGTTGCGGAGGCACGAGACCGGCTACACCCCACGCGGGCTTCTCTGCTTACGAGGACTACGAGTCGTCGCAGCCGTCGTAGTCGTCGCGGTTCTGTTCCTCGTAGTTTTGGCAGTAGGAGTACTCCGTACTCCGTACCCTGGTAGCATCGTACCTGGATGTATCCGTACGTGTACGGGTACCCGCCCTCGTAACCGCTAGCATGTAATACCGTCATTACTTCTTTGGGTATTTGGTGGTAGTACTCATCACTATGCTGTCATCATGTCGAGAGTAGGTGATGATCTCCATACTACGGACTATACATGTACGTGACGTCCAGAGACGCGATGCCATCATACTATCATTCCTGCCTGCAGAGCGACGACGACGTGATGATACCCGTTCTACCTTCTACCAGGTAATACTCGCACTCTTCTTCCGCACCGCCGATGCCACAGTCCACGTATGCCGCGGCACTTGACCTGGATCGTACTACGGCTCCGGAGTATTACTGGATTCGTACCGAGATGCGTAGGTATCCGCCCCGACATTGGACTATGGACTATGCAAAAGGTGTACACGGCTTTATTGGCGCTCGTCCCACCCCCCCCCCCCCATGTGCGCCAGAAGTTGGCCAGAACCAGGTCGGTGCAGAGCACGTACCGTCCGGGCAGCGCGTGTGCCTAGTCTCGTTACGAGATATTTTTTCCTCGTCTCGTCTCGGCATTGTCAATTATCAACCCGCACTAGGCGTTTTTTCGACGGGGCTCGACGCATGCTCGCTGTTTAGCGTTCTTCCTGCTCCCTGAACCGTGAGGAACAGGCTTGCCTAGTTGGCGGTCGAGCGATGCTGCATGACGTGTGCGCGCGTGTGTGCGTGTGCGTGTTGCGTTCGAAACCCATACGGGGCATGATAGGCCCAGCCACTATCCCGTCGGGGTAATGATGCCAATTGCTGACGGGGAGGGGAGAGGGAGAGGGAGAGAGTGAGAGAGAGAGAGAGAGAGAGAGAGGCCAAGAGCCGAAGCCCTTGCCGCAGCCCGCGCTGGTTCATTAACGTCGGAGGCAGGTGGCACCCCGTGGATCCGTGGATCTGTGAAATCCACATGGCTGTAGTGGTACTCCGTACTCCGTACCCCGTCCACCGATTACCAAGGGCTTACGAGTTTTGACGGAAGAGTCCCACCGACGACAGCGGTCTGTGGGACCCTCTGGGGACTCGCGCGCAACGTATCCCACACGAGTGGCCAGATGTCGCTCTTGCCAAGGAGGGAGGGAGAGAGGAACGCACGACCACCGTCATGACGTGCGGAGACAGATACGGAGTAGAGAGACGCACGGAGAAGAGCTCAAAAGGCGGAAGAAGGGGGGGGAGGAGGAAGGGAAGGGGAGGGGGGGGGGGGGGGCGCACGGTTAATCCCAGTCCTGGGTCCTCTCTCCACCCTGCTTGTCTACACTCCCTCCCTCTCCGTACGAGTCACCCTTTCCATCTTTTTTGGACCCTTTCTACTCGTACGAGTAACTCGTAGCGTCTACAGGTGAGAATGCCGTCGAATATCTTCTTTTTTCTTTTTTTTTTCTTCCCACAGCCTTCGTCGGGACCCGGCGGCCCTGTCTTGTCGTCTGTCCGGCTCTCTCACACCTCACCGACGCCATCATCCATGAACCGTGGACCCTGCCAGGCTAATGTGCCGGCGAAGACATCTAATCTACAGGCTACCAGGTTGTTGATACGGAGTACGGAGTGATGCTACTACACGTAATCTGCACATGCTACGGAG